GGTTCACCGAATTTTCAGCTGTTGTCCTCTGTATCTCAAAATTTCTAATCTAGTAGTCTCGACTTTCTTGCATCACAAAGCTTTGTAGTGAGCAGCTTTTTGAGTTCACCCCTCACCCGGATAAACACAACTTTCTGTTTATAAATGGTGGTTATTTATAAATAAATTCCGTAAAAATGCTCCCCTACTAAACACTACCCACTTATAGACGAGAGTGTATGTCAAGTTACACAAGACAGCTTTAGCAAATATTCTATCTACAGGACGCTCAGAAGTGCGTTAAACGATGTAGAGTGGCACATATTCATCGACTTAGTATGCAGTATAGATATCTAAAATAATAATTGCTATCCCAAGTTCATATTTCCTGTTATACAGAAATAATTTATGATATTCCATGAATCTTTTCTTCGCCAGTAAAAATTCTCAGAAGACTGAATAACTGAGTTAAGTCGGACACAACATATAATCGACATTTACTCTGCTTGCAAAATATGAGGATTATTCATTGAACTTAACAGCAGAAAACATATGAATTTGTGCGTCTCCTAATATTTCTACACTAACCTAATCACTTGTATGACACAGATATAATGCAGTCTAAAGTAATATATCTGGTTATTTTCAGGATTTTTATTTCAAGATGTCTCAAATTGTAGATTCAATCTCAGAGCCAGGGGCATGATGGTGTTTTAAGGATATTGTGTCAGCTCAAACAAACCTCAGATAAATCACATTACAGAAGTGCATTACACATCGTTTGGAAGCAAGTAAAATTTGCACTTGTAATCAAATCTTTACGAATTGGATCAAATCCGAAGTTTAGGCCGGTAGGTATGACTTTTCCGTTTTCGATAAATATGAAAATATCCATTTAAATTGTTTTCTGAAACCTTCATTAAAATTACCCAGTGACCCTAAGCAATTTTCTTATCAATGCAAGAAAGGTACTTTGAATGCCGTTATCTTTCTACGTAAAAATTTTGTTCCCGGCCTATGCAAACATCTCTATGACTATCCAGACTGTTGACACCTGTGATTATTGTAATTTCAATGAGACTGTTGTAGAAAAGTATTTATTACTGTTCTTATATTCATTGACCAACTCATGTATCGCCGAATTAGAAATCTCCCTTTACAATTCTACGTAAAAGTCGTAAATATATACCGAAACTCAGGTTCATTTTTTCCGATGTATTCTACACATTCTCGATTATTCTTCCCTGTACTTTTGATAAGGGACTATAGTGTATTACCTGGGTCATAAAGGCACAAGCAAAGCGTCTTTGGCCCAAATAACTCATGGTCTTTGTTAGAAATTTAAATCCGCTCGAGCAGTCGATTAAGGTCATCTTGACACATCCAGAACATTCTCTTTTCTCATATCTATTGCCTTCTTACGCTTCACGAAAGACTAGGTGTAATTCTATCAGAATTAAAACTGTACCTGATTTAGAGAACGCGTTGGCTAAACGAAGATATGTCAATAAAGGATTAACGAATCTACTTTGTTTTATGAGAGAAAACAGGTATTGATTTCTGTCGATCACTTGTGCATTATCCCTACATATGATAACGCTTCAAATAACTTCAGTTCATGTGGCTAATTTTTCTGTTTTTACTACATGAAGGCTCCACTCTGTTTAAAAACTACTTTTCCGAACAGTGATTATTGTTCACACAGTCTGGTTATATAAACTACTACGGTGAAACTCTTGAGACCAATATATGAATGTGTATACATGTTTTGTTATCAGTATTGATAGTGATGGAATTAACTATTTAAGATTCACTTGCATCAACTGCTACGTCAGCCCTACTAGATGAAGGCTAGGATGGGCCTTACAAAACAGTCATAGGTAATCCTCGTAACCACTGTTGCATTAGAAATGAATCATCTATGCGGAAGTTGGTTTACCACGAATCAGAGGAACATCCTTGATAAAGTAAAGAACTTTCTGCTAGTCATAAAATGAGAAATGTTTATTAAGGACAGGGTTTAGTGTGACTAAGGACACTTATTACCTCGTCTTCCAAAGACTCTATAACTTCCAAACACCTAGATGATGACTGAGAATTACTTCTGCGAAAAGCAGTTATCATTTTAGATGAAATAACGATGAATTTAATTATCTTAGCTTCGACTAAGTTCACTAATGGTCTGAGTACTTATATAGAGAGAATCTAATATGTTTTCCTGTAAAATTGCACTATGGAAACTTCTGATAATTTCTTGCCGCATATAATCATTTGACTTAAGTCCGATGGGCTTAGTTGAACTGCAGGATAACAATAAGTGTTACAGCGTGCTTCACTTACACACCACATCAAAGTAATAATTATAATGAAGATTACTATTCCTTCATGTTCACTTTCCCCATAAACTTGATAAACCCGTAGTTTAAGAATGATAAATGCTTACATTGTCGTCTACAAACAATAACTCATGCTGAATAATCATTAATTTCAAGATGTATGCAATTATCAGGAGAGCCAGTTGGGACCCTTTCTAAGCCTTAACTTATTTTAAAATAAAGCTTTTAACTGGCTAACATCTCGTAACCTAGATATTAATCACCTAGCACTACACTGATGACAACCGGAATGACATCAATGTGACTACAATACGCCTCTTAACCCGACGCTAATTACGTAGTGTCTAGTTAAAAAGGAATTAGCAAAAACAATGTGAACACCCAATATGCAATTAATATTTAGTGCTAGATGCTATCAAGTGCACAAACAACCGTACATAACAAGATAACGTGGGAAACGATAACAGTACTTGACCCGGTGCCTTAAACTGAATGACTCGATTAGGAGTAGCAACCATATCTAAATGAGGACATAGTTAGCTAGCAGTTGATTCCATGGTAATTTCTTTTACTACAGTTTTACAAGCCACTCAAATAATAAGTGTCACTCATAGCCTAATGGAACCGAAATCTGTAAAGGGTAAATTAGTGAATATGAACGCCTTCCACCTATTTTTCAAAATTTACGCCACACAACTGACAGTCATAAAAGTTTTTCAAGATACGTTTATCAAATATGCAAAGTTTCTGGTCTCAATAAGAAATCTGTTATATTCAGTGACTCATCTCACATTTATGAGCTGACTATACCTTTTCTTCATTCTTCTTCAAAATACATTATCCTTCTCACATGTTGATTTCACATTTATACTGAAAGTATATTTATTTAATTTACGTCAATAAATAACTCAATTGATTGCATCAATAAAATATGTGTGGCTAGTTTAATCGCTGTTTGAATAAGACAGTTATCATTCACATTTATTATCTTCATATTAATTTTTAATTGATGATGACTTGGCGAGTGTATTTCTTGGTGATTAATGATTTTTTCAAACCACTTGTGTGTGTGTTTGTGAGTATGTGTCTAGTGTGCTATTTGTAGAAACAAGATCTAGATATCGTAACATCTTGCTAACCAAGGAAAAACATCACAACTTTTCTCTTCTCATAGAAATCAACAATAGTGGCAGAATTTAATTAACTGATGAACAGTTGAAACCAATACGAGTAAGCAATCAACAAAATAAACTTGGTGATATGAATCTGGAACACTGAGAAACTGTAAATTTCAGAGGAAAAATTTCATGATAAATATTAGTCTAACAACTAATGTGATTTCTAACATAATACGATAACGTTACTGTTGCTGAAATATCTCCACTTGAGCTGAAAATAGCCTTTTCTCACTGCCATAGAAAAATTTCACTTATTTTATGATTTGACAATCCCTATCTTGTTAACTGGAGCAAAATTTGTCATATTTCTATATTAGTACGGTATAGACAGTCTAAAAGTGTGTTACTATGAATCAGCGCCTTAAGTACTTAGGTTTTAACGAACCCATGTCTGAATTATGCTCTATGTAAAGAGAATCGGATCGCCAATTCGTATAATCCGTTTTAAACACACTGACAAGTGCAGATGAATGCACGTGGTTATTTAGTAACATTTCCCCTTAATTCAGCATGTACAGCACTGACTCAAAGACACTTTGGTTCTAAAAGTATTCTACAGTTTACAGACCTATATTTGAATCACTATAATATCCAATGAACAATAAATGTCCTAGACAACAGAAGACAAGGGCCAGGCAACAGATCGTTTTATTATGAAAATCAACTCGTATTTATACATATTTCACATACATTATTATAGACAAACGCAGGCTTCTGATTGATTGTTTCGGGATTCCTCGACAAATAGAGTCCTCTATCTGCGAATCATATTTTGCCACGTTAACTTTGCTGTGATTGGTTGTTGAATCAGCCTTGCTCATATTTTCTCACGGCCTGCTCTCACCACACTCGTCCCCCGTCAAATACGTGCGACTGAAGTCGGCTTGATCTACTTGGTGCAGGCGTCATCGTTGGCTTGTCTCGCTGTATCCATTTCTGGAGCTCGCTGACGTTCACGCGCCTCTCATTGTTCGTCATTGCGATTGTGTCCGCGTAATCCCATCTCGAAGTGACCATATGTGGTCCTTCCCACTTTGGAAACTGTTTGCCTGACCCTGTCGAACATTCGTCAGTATTTCGTCTCACACTTTCATATGCTGCTTTCACCCGACCTCCCAGCAGCGTCCCAAGTAGCAGCTCCATCGCCGACAGATCTTGAACGCCACTCAACTGCGCAGAAGCCTTGAAGTCCTGCCCGAAGATCCATGTGTCTCCATCAAAAACAGCAGGGCATAGGCTTTCCATTTGCCGGTAGGCAGCGACACCAAATGTAACAACAGAAGACAAGGGCCAGGCAACAGATCGTTTTATTATGAAAATCAACTCGTATTTATACATATTTCACATACATTATTATAGCTTATGCAAGTAGACAAACGCAGGCTTCTGATTGGTTGTTTCGGGATTCCTCGACAAATAGAGTTCTCTATCTGCGAATCATATTTTGCCACGTTAACTTTGCTGTGATTGGTTGTTGAATCAGCCTTGCTCATATTTTCTCACGGCCGTCATATCAGTGTTACTCAGGAATAACGACTTATATCAACAGTAACCAGTCCCCCCAAAAGCCTATGACAGACTTACAGTCTATATGACAATCTGACTGAGTCAATAATATCCACCATATCATAGTTAACCAACTTCATTCACACCTAGCCTGTTCATGAAAAATCATTAACAGTTGCTTATTGCAGGCAACAAATAGTTCTAACACCTACAGATTTTATCAAATACAACTCTAAGTAATTAAAACCCCTTACCAACGTTTTCCACATTTACTGCTAGCAATATCTCTTTGCTAGGGAGTTAACTTTAACGAAAATTGCATGCATAACCAAGGACTCTTTAGGTTCTCGGCTATTTATGCTAAAGATTATTCCAATTCTGCTTCTCCTTGATAATAGAATCATAAGACTATGGAGTTTGAATCTTCACAACAAATCAAATCTGAAATTAACCACAATGTATCTAATCGACGAACACACACATATTTATACACATTGAGTAAACAACTATGGATGAATTCCTTCGAATAACTAAGTAGATTTGCAGCATTTCACATACTGACTACCTGTTGTAAACCTTTGGGTCATCGGTATAGGCTCTGGACGTCTAACTAGTTGGCAAGGCGTTAGAACCACTCTCTACCATCTTAGCAGCTAACCAGTACCACTAGGTCTCCTACAGTGGGAGTGGCTCACTGCTCCAAATGCATGTAATTCAATTGGTTGCTGAGTTGAAAAAGACACAACTAATTTCCTCTTAATTATTTCTTCAAATAAACTTATTTCATCGGCTATGATGGATAAAACTAAAACATCCGATAACTAACAATTGAAAACAGTTAATCTTAAAGATTTCCGGTGAAAAGGTGATGCTATATTGTTTTATATTTTAACTATTCAAAAAGATACTGACTTAAAAGTTTTTGTAAGTGACTAAAATGACCTAGATAGATTAGACTTTTGATGACATTCTGACTTATTTTGTGTAGAATCTAACGTAAAACTCTAAACAGTAATCTTTTACCTTGAAAAATAAAGATGACCAAACAACAACAAAAATATAAATCTGGCTAACTCAATGGAATTTAGCTGAAAGAAAGAAGAAAAACACCGACGATGACGACTATAGTAAGAATAATAATAATACATTATTATTCCTTACTCAACTGAACTGACGAATAAATATTTTGTATATCGGCACGTGAAAATACAAACAAGTATATCACATTTGTATCAAAACAATACATATATGTCTATGTATTAATTTATTCACTCATATATATATCCTTTAATTATTGACTAGTAATTTTTCCCTCGGGAAAAAAATGTACAAAATCTGCAAGAATGAATGAATTGTTGTCAACGAGAAGGCAAAGAAAAAACGTTTACACACACAAAATTCATATCAGAAATGTAAGGGTTTTATCAGAGACAGCGAGTATGTATACATGTATATGTACAGTTGCAACAGAAACTCAATTATAATCAGTATGCACTGCTTTCCTTTTTCTTTCATCACATTATTTCCAACTTCATTAAAAAAATGAAGAATTTTTAAAACTATTTGTTGTTTGTAGTTGATAATTTTTCATAACAAATATATATATATATTGGTTGGATTTAAAAATGACGCATTGCAAAGCATGCATCAATACAGGATATGTCAACTGAATTCTCGAATTCAGTTAACAATTCATGAGCATTTATACGTTCTGGTGGACCAACCATTGCCTGATTTTACAAGTTGGAAGTGAAAAGAAGTAATCTTAAAACAGTGAAATAACACTAATACAGTTTGATATTTTCATGAAAATACTCTTTAAAAGTTATGCCGTTTATTTAGTTTTGAATTACATTACATGGGATATTTATGATAAATGGTTTCGTATCTTACTATAAATAATATATAATGATAAATGTGTAGGATACCGATTACCTAATTATTCGCACCAATTAGTCGGAATAATGAACGTTTCAGAGGTGAGTCCACATGTCTTGTGCAGTGCTACTACTAATGATAATTGTATGGCAACTGGATCAAACATCTACTACAACTGGTTTTTAGAAGACACACCTTTGTTTCTGAGATAAAAGATAAGAGGAATCAATAGTAACTGGTCAGCATTAGCACTAGGAACGCGAATTACTCGACATCATGAAATATATGGGCGCCACCACAAACCAACCATATCGATTGAGATGGTTAGGACATGTGTTACACACGCCTAGCTTAGCCATCACTTTCCTCGACAATAGGCTACGTTAGCCGATATAGAGTCAGGTTGGAAAAGAGCCAGTGGTGTTCAAACCAAAATATGGCACCAGTCAATGAATTCCACAACAGTTCGTTTTAGCCATGTAGAAAGGTTTGGACTTCCTGACTGGTTGGGGTCCTCAGCGCGATAAACACCAATGACTGGAGACAATTGGCGATATGGCTCAAAATCGGTCTCAATGGCCGACACAGATGCATCCACTCCTTGTGACTTATAATTTCCAACAAAACTATTTTGTTCTTCGTTATTACTATTCCTTTGTCTCATAACCCTGTTTACTGTCTCTACTTTGCGTTTCTTCTACTCCTTTCTCTTGCCTTGTGTGCTAAGTGAAGTGTGTATATTCGAGCTGCTGCACATCGGTGCAAAGTTCTATGTTGAGACCAGTCAGATCACAAACATTCATCGCTTTCATGTAATCATCTCTAAACCAAATATGCTAGGTTACAAATAAGGTTAATAATAAACTACCTATATACCCCTTTACAACTACAAATCTTATTAGCTGTATATTGTTCCAGTTTTAAATGCATGGTAAGTCCTGACAAGAAATATAGCAAGGTTGATCAATAAACTATTGCGCAAGTGAGAACTAAATTACGTATCACTAACCTTACGCTTGGCAATATCTTCACGCTTTCTAGCTTCAACAAGTAGACGCTTCTCTTCCTCAATGCGTCGCAACTCTTGCTCCCTTTTTCTTTCAGCTTCTAGAGCGAGTTCTGCCTCAAGTCGACGTCTCTCAGCCTCCTCACGTTCGCGAGTAGCTCTCTCCTCAGCAGCCCGGGAACTCCACTGTGACTGCCTACGAGCTTCGCGCATTATCTGAAGAGCGGCTGCTTGTTTTTCTTTCTCTTCGTTTCTACCAGACTGTGAATTCGGTAACGAAAGATCATCTGTCTCAATAGGCTCCGGTACTAGATTCATAGGCCTTGAAGTATCCATTGTAGAAGATGGCACTTCAGATGCAGATGTAACAACACAACTATTTGAAGTTCCGGGTCTACTCTGTGTGCTGTCACCAGAAGACGGCTTCTTAGAAAAACCTGAAATTGACCATACAGGCTGAGGCAACTGATGAGGAGAATTCGGTTCAGACTCTGTGTCTGATGACTCATTTTGTTCAGTCACTTGTTCAACGGACGTCTTCGAATGACCAACATCATTACAATGACCACTTGTAACAGTGTCATGTGTAGAAATTGCCGATGGCTGATTAACTGGTGTCTTAGCAGTCACAGTGCTTGAATTTGACGGTAAAGAAGTAGCAGATCTTGAACAATTTTGAAGTCCACTTGTGACTACCTGGTCATACGCCTGTTTATGATCCGAAGATGCCTCTGAAATTATACCAAGAATACCGAGAAGGCAGACCTTAAAATCTAATCAAGTGAACTTAAACTACCACCCCATGTGCTAACATCAAGAAGACCTTCACTTTAATAGCAGATAATTTATCAAATGAAAATTACATGCTAAGAACTGTACAAAAATGCATTAAATGATCTTTTTTATACACAGGACCACAAACAATTAAAAAGGAATTAGGTACATATTTCTGGTGAAAACAACGCCATGTGTTGGAGACATAGTGGTTCATAAGAAGAAATCAAGAATTGATGTACAAAGAATAATAAAGCCACTGAGGCAACAGAACCAGACAACAGAGTTCTTGGTGCTTTGTTGGAAACCTTAGGGAATCAGTTCATCAAAGTGAAGTTCTTGTCTTGATGTTAGCACACAGTGGCTGGTAGTAAGAGATGCATGTGAAATTTTAAAAAAAGAGTGGTATACGTTGAATAAATAGGGATTGAAAGAAATTACAAAATGAAACCATACTGTAGAAAAGTTGCTTAGAAAAAGAAGGAATATTGAATGACAATAAAGAATGCAGTATTGATTTACTGGGGAATAAGTTGCAAATGTAGTAATTCATCAGGACTCACTGTAGGATTTAGAATCTGAAGAATCAGATTCACTGGAGTCCGAAGTACTCTCAGAATCGCTCGAACTTGACGAGGATGCACTTAGACGATTAGCACCATCTGAAAGGAAATGTGGTAAACAAAAAAAAAATATATACTCTGAACAACTTAGTGAACGGAAGTAATGAAATATTGATTACTCGCTATAAAGTTTGCTGAGACGTACTGCTGAAAATGTAAAATAATTCACCAAAACTGCTGGCCCGACCCACACAATTAAAAGAATTCACCATTCAGCTAAACTTTCATACACTTATAAGTTGAACTATATGTACTTGTTGAACAGAGTTGTAAAACTGCATGACATGTCTGTGTATGCAACAGATAGTAAAACTATAGCAAAGTGATTAAGGATATCACAGTTAAGAAACCGTAGGTAAATTATTAGTATCTAACGTATCTTGAGTCGTTTGTTTAATTGAACATTTCTACTTCACTGATATTTCGACAATGTGATAGTGAATGTTGATTCGTGTGTAGTAGTCTGTTCACTTGCTTGGTCAAAAGACATTACAAATCAAAGACTTGACGCGACAAGGAAATGAGACCAATGAAAACTATTGCTTCTCATGAGAGCAACAAAAACCAATATGAGAATGATTCCAAGTACAGAAACTACAAGTAACGAATCAAGTTTAAATGGCTACATGATAAAACAAATAGTGATAATACTGATAAACTAAACAACGTATGTACTTACGCGCTTTCTTTGGATTATGAGCATTATGGTATCCAGGAGCACCTTGTGGAAGTCCTCCGATTTCTCTCAACCGATTTTCCAATTCCTCCGTTTTTTCTTTCATGCATTCTTCACGCGTTTTTCCCGGTGGAACACCGGTCAATCCTTTTTTCACATATTTACGACTACCAGATTTCGCTTTTTGTAGAACAGATTTCACATATTTCTCTAACTCACGTAAAGTTGTGTGCTGGAGTGTTTCGAAATCTATCTCTATTTCATCCGGATTACAATCACGATGTGATGGTTCACGCTGTTGAATTATTTGAACGACTCTACCCAATTTTTCTCCAGGTAGCTTATTGATATCTAAGCTTAACTGACGTTTTTCATCATATGTCATCGGTCGAACGTTGTTTTCAGACATTTCTTCATCTGTAGTATATCCTGGTACAGGCAAAGGTTGGGAATGTGTGCTGCTCATGTTAACTGTGCTGCTAACTGGAACATTTGGTGTATTAAGGGCGGGGGCTGCAGCAGGTAGCCCTGTAAAATAAAGTTATTAAATACGACCGTAAGTTTATATTTATAAAGTGAGGGAAAATACTACGCACATCAGAACACACATACTCATTCACAGCATACTAGATAGTTCCATCCATTTCAGTCTCATAAACAAATGTATTGGGCCGTTTAATAATTACTTTAATTTTGCACAAGTTGTATGTCTTTTACTTTACGTCATCCAACTAATTTCATCAACACCTTTTCACTAAACTACATGTTCGCATAACCGAAAGCATTTTCAAAATTCCATTTCTAACCGCCAGAGTGTATTTTTCCCCTGTACGAATATCTAGAGGTAATAAAATTGCAGTCGGATGAATGACAGACAACAAATATTTGTAATTATTGGTTCGAGCGACTTTTGGAATTGTGAGCATATTGATAATCCTCACTTTTTCTTACAATACTTAGACTGGTCACTGAAATATCGACAGGAGTAAAATAGTGACAAGCTATGTTTTATAAGATAGTGTTTGCGCAAGGAAGCCTTTTTGATTAGCGAATGACACCACAGCAAAGATAAGTTTTGGATAAGGTGAACTAATCAGATAATGATGCTATCAAGCTCATACTTCGCAATATGTTTTCATAACACATTCATTCACACAAAAACTATGTGGATAACCAACTTAAAGCATCGTGTAGTTACTACGCGAGCAGTTAATTGTTAGCTTGAACCACAGAGAAAAAGCAGCTCACTCAGATAACAAATCAGCAAGAATATTAGATACTACTGTGTAAATACGTGGCTATTTATCATCTTACGTCTTTGTTTAGTTTTGTATTATTATAAATACTACTTTTAGTTTTCCGCTCATTTTTTATCTTGCCTACATTAACAACTTAAAAGCAAGACATTACCCAATAACACTTCCACCTGTCATTGTATGACAAACACACATAAGTAACCATTTAGCCACAGCTTGGAATAAATCATTGAAATTAAGGATAAGTAGGTTAGTTTCTGTTATATACGATTGTTGAAACAGAAGCAAAATCCTATGAAAACTAATCGGACAGATGGAATATGTGACTTCTCATCTTGTAAATCCAAACACACCAGCACTTTTCATCACGTAACATTTCCACAAAAGTCCATATATTTGTTGAATATTTAAATTACCATATACGATGACAGGTTCTACACTTTATCTATTTATCAGTATGTTTGCACGTACATTCAACTACCTAACTAGCAAGTCGGACGTCTTATGCAATTTATCGCTATCTATACAGGCAATTTCACAGCAATAAATACATAAAGCATCATACAAAACTGGTAATTGCTCAATAACTTACAAAAGTGATTAAGTAGATTTAATGATGAAAACTAAAAACGGCGTTACACACTTTTTGTGCATTGTTAAGTGGATTAATCTAAGTCTACAAATGTAAGTAATTCAGTCATAAGAAAAACAATATCAGTGACAGAGAAGTCTTAAATGAAATACTGAGTCCAACTGACTGCAACAAATAATATAGGGCTCCATCAAAAGAAGTCAGCCAGGCTATCAATATTTTGCACAGACAATTAACTGATTTCATCGATTAGTAGATACATGACCCCCCTTTATATTTACAGCACTGTAGCAGGACAGCAATCCCAATGAAAATAGTATCACTATCTCTTGTCTCCTACTTTTCTACTAAAATACATCTGACAGAATTGTGTAAATCTGTTAACCGACATTCTGTGGCTTTCAGAAGTGATGAGAACACAACTTACGCTTTTAGAAAATTAATTAATCCACAAAATTGATCGTCAACAAAACTAGGAATGCTATTGATTTGACTTTTTTCATAATTTTCGTGGACACTGATGAATTTTAAGTGATCGAATTACAGCTGTGAATGTCACCTGAGAAAACTTTTAAAAAATCAGTTTGTTACTTATACTCCACACGTAGTTCTTACTTCCTTTTCCTGAATCTTTTGATTACCTCAATTTTCTGAGGAAATTCGACTTGTGATAAATCCTTATTTCAAGTGTTTTACTACTTAAGAACGCTTTAGATGGTATTAAGTAGTCAGAAAATTTGCTAGATTTAAGGAGTGAAAACAAGTTAACGTGGTAGGAAAACGCCTGTGAAACTGAGTGTTTTACTTTCAGTAAACGCCTGTCTCGCCTATAAAACAAGGTTAAACTACATTACGGTTTGAACAACCTACATAGTACCCGGAAAATATTCTTTGCTTTTTACGGGACTGCTTTTTACATTACGTGATCTCGTAAAGCATAAAAAATAATACTCCCAATTAGAAAATAAAGCACGAAATTCAGTTGCGGATGTTTTTTTAAACGTAAGACGGGCTCCATTTGAAACGAGAATACGTAATTGGGTGAGGTAAATAAATATTCTCCGATAATTCAGCCTAATTAAACAGTTACTTATACTACGCACTAATAGGGTAACACACTCAATAGCCACTGTGATTGACTTTGTGAATGACTAGAGGCGAACGAACTTCACCAACGGCTACGGTCACTCAGTTTTAATGATAACATTTAGGGAAAGCTGATCAAAACCTCACACAAACTGTTCTGTCTGTCTGTCTGTTTTCGACATAGAACTTTGCACAAATGTGTGCCAGTTCAAGTCGCCACACTCCGTGTAGCACGCGAAGCAAGAGAAGAAAGTACAAGAAAAGCATAATAGAAACAGTGAGCACAAACTGTTCTAATGAATCCTGCCGTTCGTAAATTCTGCACGAATGCCTACATAAGAGATTTTATTAGTCAAAAAAGGAAATTAGTAATTTCTTGTAATCCCTGCTTCCTCAAACCAAAATCTGGAGATGCTTAATAAATAGGTTAACAGTAAAGAAATACAAAAATATGTAACTGACCTGATTGTCGATACTTTGTTTTCGACTGAGATTGTCTACTTCTCCTGAAGAAAGCATTATCGATTAACTGAAAAGACACTTACTTAGTAGAGTTTACATCTTCTAAGTCATTCATAGCAGTACGCGTAACAGTGGAAACGCCAGTTTGCGGAGGAAGTGAATTAACATGCGGTGTGTTGTGACCAACAGGTGCTACAAACATGAATATAAGCTAAAGTACCTACCTTTCCTGACAGCCATACTCAGGGAAGATAAAATAGAATTCAAATTCGCCGTGCTTTTCTGTAAATCTTCACTAAAGCGTTGAAATTGAGCTGTTAGCTTCTGATGTTCTTTGATAGCATTCTGGATTAGCTGATACATATTCTGATCAGCTGGACGAGTGTCAGGAGAAGCAGCAGTATCTGATTCGTCATCTGGGACTTTCGCGAAGTTCTCATCAAAAATAGCTTGTAGTTGTTTACCCACCCTTGCAACTTCACTATCCTCACCATTATATTTGTAGCAGTTGTTGAACATTAACCGGACGTCATCCGCAAAATCATACTTAGTGTGGTACTGGCCACTCTCTAGCTTTGTCTTTATGGTGCTGAGATCCATTGCCTTTTTAACGACATCATAGTAATCATGAAGTCCAAGGGCTACTACATCCACTGGTTTTAAGAAAAAATGGTTTAGATCCTAAAAACAATAACCTAAAATATTACGAAAAACGTACCCGATATCTCTGAGATGAAATATCTTTCAGAATATTGCTGCAAGCCTTCAAGGCTTCAGAAAGCCGTAAACGCTTTCCAACATTACGTTCTTCATATTCTCGTTTCGGCTTTTTAATTTGACGACGATCTCTTGACAGATCATCGTATGACTGAGGGGTCGAAGGCAACTCGTCCATTCCTGATTCACTTTTCTTTTTACTTGCTTTTTTATTAGAAGTTGATGTAACTGATGGTCTGAAAGGTAACGCAGTTTGGTCTACAGATACGGCTGAACCATTAAGCCCCTCGGTATGATTAGTTGAAGCAACTGGATGAATTGATTCAATGGACGGGTGAACTTGCGTGGGAGTAGTAAGGGGACGAGTAGACTTAGGAGCTTTTTGAGGACAAATTTCCGTTTCAGGAGTTGGCATAAACTTTAGACGTTCTCTTGCAATCTGTTCGAGTTTCATTGCCATTGCAACCACGTCATCTCCCGGTTTGTTGAATATATAACAATTTCTGAACATCGTAAAGAGATCATCGAGACATTCTGAAGAGGAGTGATAAAATTTCAGATTTAACCGCTGTTTGATTGTCCCTAGATCCATAGGATGTTTTATGATTTTAGGATAGTCCTATCAAAATAGGTTACTGATGAATTAGGCTTACTGGAAGGTTTAGTCGTTGATGATCAACCGGTTTTGTGAATGGCCATACTATCTTTTCTTTGAATAACCTGCCAACTACTTCCTTCTTAATATACTCCAACTGGTTGGTGGTAATTTTCGATGAATGAGACTTCGCAGCATGAGGTTCTGATTTAATAGAATTGGAAGAATCTAGATTTGCTTCAGAGCTCATTGCATAGGCAAAAATCTAAAATGAAATTTTCATCATATAGACTATCAAAAGTTGTCTAGTAGCTAAAGCATTGTAAGAAAATAAGCATGTTACTTACTTTGCATCCCACTGGTCACTCAGTTTGCACAACTTTCAAACTGTTCAACTGAAACTACTGTTATTGTCAATATTACTAAAAACCAGTATATAAAGCAATGAGTGCAGTGCCTGGTACAATAAAAATAAGAGAATAAATGCATCACAATACATATTAGGACCTGAGAAATTAGCAAAAGTATTAGTCTCAACGTAGTATTATCAGGTCTGAATGGATGAAGAGTCTACTTAACCAACCTATTACGCAGCGCAACCACTATCACCTTACGAAATAGTCTGATTCAACAAGAGGTTTTGGCATATGTTAAACTGAGGAAGATAACGGGGAAATGTAACTAAATAAAGTTCCGTTTAGTTTGAACTCGGTAGCTCAGAAGAGATCCTACGTGTACCAGAACATGAGCTTAACTTTTGCATGAAGGGTTGTGATACTACTTAGTTGCCCGAAGTGAAATAAGCGGAGTGGAATTTGAACAGGAACACATGGGCTGAAAACTGAATGCTTGGGCCAATGAGCCATGCTGCCAATATACTCTTGCTTCAGGAAACCGACAGGCGAATGATAAGTCCCCTATACTCGCATTCAGCAGCTACTACGCTTAACAATACATACTTTACAGTCCATAAATAAGAGTCGGACACGCAAACGTAAACTTTTGATCATGTTAAGCACGTCGTTTGACACCTGACAAACCTACAAGGACTTTCCCGTACCGATGCACTCACAATGAGCAAAGCTAAAATCTGATACATATAAAGTTGGTTTGATTTTTAATTATCACGCTTGGGTACACTTCCAAGATATTGAGTAAACCCAGCTATTGTTATGTCCTTTCGACTCTAATAAGTCTACAGATATGTTACTGTTAAAGATAACCCTAATGTTCATCAGTCTGGTTGTCTGTATAATCCTAATCGTTATTAGTAATACATATTATCGTTCGATATGTATATTACACACCAAAAGAGTCGGCAGTTCTTCAAAGTGCTACAAACCACCGAACCTATTTGCAAACCTGATGGATTGCGTGACATCAACAAAAATATAACAATCTGGTTTACCGAGAAAAGGAGGAATATATTTGCAAATTCGATGTTTGCTTATTGTTATCTGAATGGACTTCACACGTCACATTTTCGTAGTGAGGATGAATTAAAATACTTATTTTTGATTAACAAAGCATTCTAGTGAAAATTCGGTGGATACACGTAACAAAATGGTGGCTGTTCTTTGAACAAACAGCCCATTTATCACGTAAAATTCTAATGCTTTTAAGTTCTGGGGGTTTGCATCTGACCATAGTCATTAAGCCACTAAGCGTATCATTTTAAGGAACTAGCCAACCTTTGGAGTGGAACATACTTGCAGTGATTAGCCATTGATGTTGAGAAATGTAAGCACCTGTTACGAAAAAGGATCTGTTGTCGAAATGGGAAACAGTACAGTGAAGAAACAGATATAGTCCACAAGTCCAGGAGACAGCTAATCTTATTGTTTGAAGTTGAGAATCTACATCCACACTCAATCTGCGAAAATATCTACCAACTATAAAAGCTGAACAAAATAATTGTCTGCACCGAATTTTACGTTCATTTCAGTAATTAAATTGACTGTTAAATGTGTCAACACTGAATTTAATCAACCAACCTGAAAAGCGAAATATCTTAAGCAGAAGTAAAAATTAAATTGGATATATAAGTGGAAATCACCAAAGAGTAGCAAGATGTTTCAAGTCACGAGGTGACTTTAAGACTGATAAAACCGCATCTACACAACCACCACCTATCAAGAACTTCCTAATCTAGTATTATACACCGTAGGCTTCGGTTATGATATGGATGCAGAGCGGTGACATTAAGTCAAACAAATAATCGAAGGTTTAATTGACTGATATCACGTTTTGGTGTGATTTGTCGGCATAATCTTGGTGCGACTATCCTCAGATTTGACAGATGTAGATAGGCGGCCTTAATATCTATTCTACACACATCGAGTTTATAACTTATTTGGATGAACCACCTCCATCACTACGTTGGTCATCCAATTCCACAAAAAAGACCAGAGACATAAACATCAGTGGTCCAATACTTCTAATACTTCTATGTCGAAAACAGACAGACAGACAGTCTAACCTCAAAAGGTGGTCAATGTCTTTATTTGAAGCTGTAGAGTACTGCTTCAAAATTTACTCTACACTAGACCACGGATCTCATCTTGCCTTTTAGTTAACTAAAAACCATAACTTCTAGTGGCTAAATTTCTACAACAAATAAAATTCAGCTTTATGACTTTTGCCATTTACTGATGCATGTAGAAAAACCAAATATTACTGCGATATAAGAACTTGCTTTCCTGCTTCCTAATTAATTCCTGAAGTAGCGAATGTACCTAAATCACTTTCACATATTAATTCACCGATATAGATGTATGTCACACAAATAGATCTGCCTATCACACCGACTTTTCTCTCAAACATCCCAAGAATACTTCAGCAGGGTCTGAGCACCCCATTAAAATGACTAGCAGAATCTAATGGGTGATTGACTGTCGACGATGCATCCCAACGTTGACAAATGTCTGTAGCCAGCATAGATTTACATGAATAGTAGTTCCTGATGTTACTAAACAGTGAATTGTGGATATTAAGATAGTCACATTATGGTTGGGGAGTCTTCTTATACATCTTTCCTTAGGATTATGTTGCATATACCTAAAACCCTCGTTCAATTCACACGCTGTCTTCTGTGACTCCACCTCTTCATAATAACTCATCGGTGTGAACAACCGCGTCTGCCTACACTAAGGCATTCCATAACGCCACTAAGATTTCATGACCCAATAGCTCTGATACTATTTTAGCCTAGATGCTTCGGTATCCTCACACTAATGTAGCAGTTGCTGAATCAGACCGCTTCTAAATCCAGTAGTACCAGACTACTAAAACTGAGAAACCAATATACTGAACGATAAACCATCTCGAACATTAATCACACAACTCAGGCACCTTAGTTAACATGCAACAGTCGCTCCTGAATCTTTCTGCAACCTCACTTTTACTTCATCCTGGTACGCCTTAGTCCTTCTCGTAGCTATTATACAAACAGTGCTGAGGTACAAGATCTGTATAAAATCTGCAATAATCAACATATAACAGCGATGTATGCAAAGCAAAATCTGGTAGACATGAAAGGTAGTTGATTTACCTAAGTCCGTATCCCTTATAGTTGCCAGCCGCACATGTAAATCAGTCGTTTGAACTAGTAGACTAAGTGTTGAACAAGGATGAAACTTGTCGTAGAACCTTATCTGCTACAGTTCCCACACTTAAGAGTATGGGATGATGAAGAACTCTCAATCCAACAACAGAAAAGGCTGTGTCGTATATTTCAGCAAGGTTCACACCCCATTCCACCTACAATGTTTTGGACAAGAAACTTGCCGCGACAGCTATCCCGCACTACATACACGTACACATTCACAGGAAGTACCATAACCCTGAATATATGACGTAAACTTGCACACGCGTTTAGCATTAGAAAATAAGTTACTTCCCTAGTAACGAATCAGTGAAAAGATGACGTGGAAATTCATACTTCTGTAAAATAAGGCACAGTCACCTCGAACACCCGTGCACGTCACTGAGACAAACGGCAAAAGTAATTCAACCCGCAAGTCTGTAGAGATAACAGAACATCACATGACAGCAAAAATACAACCATCTTATTTTCCACAAATAGCCAAAGCCACAGACAGTCGTTTGAAAAAGTGAAGCCTTAAGAAAATAAGGGAATTTCTTCTTATCTTGAAGTGCTGAACAAATTGACAGATTTATAGTTACTTCCAGGATAGTTGTGCTCACGAAGTACCCAGGACGTAAAAGAGAAACACTAGAAGCCGAAATGTTGGTAGCTGAACAACAAAAAGTGCTTTTACAGACAAAAAGCTACTCAACAAACCAATTCTGACAAAACTGAGCTAAAAACCATTGACAACTCCGATAACCGTCAAAGAATTGCACCTTAAAATAGACGTGGGAAATACATGACTACATTACAACCACGAATATCTCTAAAGTATCCATGAAATTAGTGTTTTTTTTCATCAACCATGACAAAAGCATGCAGTCGTTTATAAACATGAGCGCAGGTTACTAATATTCATACAAGCAACAATATACGGAGTAACAACACCACTTCTTCTTAAATTTGTCACATCAAGTTGTAAAAAATCTTAAAAACACTATGATTCAGCTCACATTCACGAATACACAAGATCACACACTGTTTGTCCAATTACGAAACACCTCGGCACATTGACAGTCAAGACAAACAGGCAAAATACATGTAAAACTACCAAAATCGAATGATAATACCGTTAAGTGCGAAATGCAAAAACAATAGAAAAGAAAATCATCTAAACTCACCTACCTATGGGTGGGAAACATAATCCAGACAACATCCAACAATGGCGAAACGAAAGTAATCCGACCGGACTTAAATCAGGTGGCTAAAACAAAAGAAAAACACAATCTAAATTTAATGGCCGTAATACACCTCATATCAAACATCTTTTCGATAAAATCTGTTTTATGGCTCTGAATATGGCTAATGTTCTATTTTAACCAACCACTTCAATAAACATATGGAAGATTTGTAGATCATTCCAGCCATGTCTCTGTTGATATACATTTTCACTACTACAATAAATTTAACATTTTTATCAACCTTTTGGCTTAGATGGATATAATTTATCAATTTCACCATTCATAATCCGGGAGTAAATTTGTCTACGGTGTTTCAGATATCTACAAATGTGGCCCATTGGATACCTTGAATACTGATGGTCCTGGAGAGTTGTATAATGAAATATCTGTCAAGTCCTTGATGAAGGGGCTCCACAGTAATAGTAGAGGCGAAAAAATCTTGAATTTGAGGTAGTCGTTTTGACCAGTTTGCTGTTCATCAAAAAGATACACTGGCCTCCCATGAAGTGACTGTTTTCCCACTGTAGCGGTAAATAATTCCCCAAAATTATTGACCATAGGAATAGATTACGTCAAAGAGAAGAATTACATCGTGACCATAAGAATCACAGGTGAACATTGGATGCTGACCCTTAGAGTTAAAATCGACTTGTTTAGCTGAAAGCTATCGTCAGGCATCCCTCCATTTGGTACTCCGTCGTGTCACAGTCGTGCACGAAAACTAGGTAGCTTGGCTTTCGCTTCAATCCGCGATTTGGTTCCGAAATATATCTCGTAATTTGGACAATCAATTGTGGTCTTTTGCTTTGCCTTTGGTACACGAGAATCAAACAAGTTAGAAGTTGTTGGTATAAGATCTTGCATTAATATACTCAGTACTTTTCGCGAACGTCTATACCGTCAACCTCTAAACCACCAATAACTGAACTTAACACTAGTAATTTCGAACACCAAGGTCAAATCAGTTAAGCTTCTAAGCATCTTATCCCAGTGAAATCAACTAACAGGAAACGCCCCAGAATTTGAATGATGTGGCCCTGTTTGGTGACAAGCTGAGAGCATATGCCCTTAGAGTTCGAGCTTGTGAGTGCTAGTTACAGCCTAGATGCGAACACCACCACTGATTGAGACTCATGTACATCAAGAGGGAGACTTGCTTATCTGACGAGGTAAATGATCTGAATTCCACCACTGACCATCATCGTGAGACTAGTGCAGTGTCTTCCTGCATGTACTCGAAGGGCATAAGTGTAGTCGGAATGTGTGCTTCTGTTTTCACTGATGATCTGCTCTATGTAGCTGCAATTTCCAACATTCGTAAACCTTCTATCCCTGCTTTACCTGACTTGGTTCAGTCAGAAGTATTGGCACGCTTCTATTTTCGATTTTTACGATTATTCCATGGCTGTTTACCATAGATGAACCTCTAGCCAGGTACATAAAGGGATAAACTCTGTGAAGTTGAGATCGTTAGCAAGGGATGGGACAATGTAAGAGTGAAGGCACCTCTTCCGCCCCGCCACTTTATGTGGGCTATCTACTACTCAAATCTGATTAATCTGTCACTGCGTGAATTTATGACCTTCAGCTTATTGTCTACATTACGTGACAGTGTACTAATAATGACGTAACCATTAATAAGGGGAATATATGAACGTGCTGATTAACGAACTGTTGCATATCAGAATCACAAAGTTCAACCTGCGATATGCTGGTAGAATTCCTCGATTTCTCCACTGGTACCCAGAAATACCAATTAGATAATTAACTGTAATGAAAATGATGACCAACGGGCAGATGATCAACAGTGTTTATCTGCCTGGAATTACAACTGACTGAATTCCATATCACCCTAGGATTTCGGTTATGTCCTAATTACCCTAAGCAAGGGATAAATGGAATATCGAAGTTAACTCGTTTTATTCTATGTCGAGAGAGCTAGTCTTACAATTTTCCTCAGTGCTAGCAAATCTTAAAAATTTTATGGCAACTTTAGATTCGTTCTATATTCGGTGTTAGTGAAATTATCAAACGAGACTCGATTACGCTTCCTGTAGACATTACGAGGTCTTTTTGATAACTGACTTTTGGTAGTCTTTGGCACGCATACTTTTACTTGAGGTTTACATGTGGACCCACTGGAAGGACGAAACCTTGAAGCAGGAGGACATGCTTGAATAACAACCGAGAAATAAAGGGGCATGGAGGTAACATTCTACTCTTGAATATGTATAAATAAGACAGACTGCTCTTGTTTAGCCTTAGTAACGTTTTCGGCTCTCTTTGCGATGATAACTATTTAGTACTTGCCTTATTCTAAGTCAGATCTGTAGATCACTGTGTGATAACAATAGATCCTAACTACTGCGTAAGAGGATGCTAAGAGTTCACATTTACGGCTTTCAGTCACGATATTTATGCCATTATTTCTACACAAATTCGGAGCAATAAAAGTCTGTCTCGCCTTTCATCGCCATCGTGGCTGGCTACAAAATACTCACCTCTGTTACCTCCTTGTTAGCAAAACTATGTTTACAGTCCCAGTTAGGGAGACAGACGGTCTGCATTCCATCTTTTATTTTGAGAATGACTGCTGTCTCTTGGTTATCGGTCAGGTAGATTCGTAACCTCTGCCTACCCTATTTCCACTTGTAGTCCCGCTATTCTATTCCTTCTCCGACCTTTTGGTTTCCGCTTCAAATCTTTAGGTGTGCGTGATATGATACATAACCTATCACTAAATCCAGATATGCTTTAAACTGTTCGACAATCTAGCGTATGACCAATCTAAGTGACATTACCCAGACCACCCTTTACCGAAGGATTATCGGTGTCTTACTCTACACCTTAAAGGATATACTGAGTTTCCGTTTCGAATTTCTTGGGATGCTGTATCACCATATAGCTGCTGCACTGCATGGTATTGAGGCAGCTACGAAATTACTTCACATTCAACGCTATAGAGAGCCATTTCAAAGCCAGTGTATTTGAGGAGCAGGTCCAGCTGCTATTCTAGGCTCTAATCAGTATTACTGTTTGATCACCCTATTATTTGTTTTTCACATATATGGTCTGTTGCTTCGATGGAGGTTTACTTGCAAAGAATCTTTTAGTCTCTCTAGGCTGATTTGGTTTAATATTTTGCTCGGCGCAAAGAGTGAAATCAAGCCGGCACTTGCGTAGGCTATTTCACCAAATAACCTTTATTCCAATAAGCAGTTTTACTTCCTTCTGACCGCGTTCCCTACCACTGCTGGAATCATCACATTCGGTGAGATCTTCAGCGCCGTTTCCAGTCCCTTCAGGGGTAATGCATCTGAACATGTCTCTCTCCCATCTCCCAGTAGAATTATGAACTTCAGGACCTCACTTTTGTCAGGCTATTGTATTTTAGATGTAGTTATTTATCTCGCGGCGGTGTTCTTTGACGTGTTTCAGGTATTGGTCTATTCAGTAGTCCTTCAAATTTGTCAGAGCAGTGCTTCAACCGTTCCATCTTCCTTCACTATGTTTCTTTTGAGTTGCCAGCATTGATTATTCCGTTGTTTCTGGTTGTTTCTCGAAGTTGTGAGATGTTTCTTATATGTACTCTATTCTAATCCAGGTACCAATGTGTCCCAGAAACTTCGTTTACTTTTCATAGCACGTTTCCTCATCTATTTGATGAATGGTCCGCGGATTGTTCTCAGCTACTATTTTCGTTGTTCATCTCTGCACTTGGCTTACCAGTAGCTCCACCAACCTCCTATTACCAGTCGCCGTGTGCCCATTTCAGGCCATGCTTCCTTAGCTTCCCTAAATGTCCGTGCAGTTTTCCTTCGGGAGTTCTATTATTCTTCCCTTCATGTTTCCCTGGTGATCATGAGTAATGTTTTCGTTAGTTTCTTGATGAATGTGTGAAGGCTCCCACATGGCTTTGCCATTCAGTCTCTGAGTTTTGAACTTGAGTTCTGATCTTTTTCCGGAAATTTCGACTTGGTGTTTAGTAATCAACGGAATAGATAGTTACCTGTAACTACAGCCGGTTCACTTCTCGATCCTGTGTATAGGCAGTGGCGCATCCAAAATCTTGATTTTCCGACGAAGTCTGTCTGAATTCTAGAGCACTAATGTGGATAAATCCACTTTGCCTTGTGTATATCCCTTTGCTTGTTCATGCTGCATCCATTCAGCAAATCACTAAAGGCACGGAATTCTTCGGTGGGTTCTCTGCCATCATTCACTATACCAAGGGTTTTCGACCCACGGTACAATCCGCTACAGTTTTGCGTGTTACAAGTTTGGCTAACATCCATACCGCCTAACAGATCTTCAGTGTTGCTGTACAACTAATTTTGTTCGGTGCTGCTCGTACTGGCCTGTAGAAATCTCCCTTCTCACAAGTATGTGGTCTTGTAGGCATATGGTATTGTATGATTTCTACTTTCCTTCCTTTTGACTTGATTTTCGCTTCCGCAGCGCCACCGCACGAGTGCCTTTATTCTGTCACGGTATTTATGATGACTGCACTTCACTGAGCTTCTGGTTATCGCCTGGCTATTCGGAGTAGACTAGTGAATCTCCAGATGGCAATATGGCGTGATCACTCCCATTCGATGTTCTCTCACAGATTGCCTAGAGCTCCATAACGTACTGACAGAATGCAGTCTGCATCAAACGCTGAACAGACACATGATGCAGGTTACTACCTGATGTCCAGTCAAAATACGGCATATCTTCCCATTTCTTCAACAATTTCAGCAGCCTTGACATCTTCAGATGAGGCGTACACTCTGTCTATTTTCCACGGAATCTTTTCATTCTTTCTCTACCAAAAATTATTTAGAAAATATAGCATGAGAAAATGTATCTAACTGAAATTCTTCTTTGCCATCGCTTTCGAAATGTATGTGGCCTTACAGATTTCGAGGGGAGTTTGAACGTAATTATATTCGTTGCACTTTTGTTTCATTCTGCTTGCTATTAAAGACTTGGTATTTATTTTCACGAGACTACCAAAGTTTAATTTATCTTATACGGCGAATGGTTTTCATGATGTTCTAAATGCCATTGGTTAGAACAAGGAGAAACGATCTACTTTTAAGGTATTAACCGTAATGATGTCATGGTAGGTTCTTGTATTTCTTCATCGTAATAGTTATAAAGGAAGTCTTTGGGCCGCTTACTGTCTGGAATCAAAGGTGCTTATAATGATATTAACCCTGCAACCCTTACTGGAGCTATCGATGTAATTGTTGTGGAACAACAGGATGGCTCTTTTACCTGTGGTCCATTCCACGTGAGGTTTGGAAAGCTAACAGCTATATCTCCGGCTGATAAGACTGTCGAAATTTATGTCAACGGTGAATTTGTCGATTTCTTAAGAATGTGTTTGGGAAGTGATGGTGACGCATACTTCGTGGATTCTTCAGGTTCAGTAACCGACGAATTTTTACCATCAGACACAGTTGGTTGCCCAGGTTTTACGTATGATGATACTTGGTCTGGGCTGTCCATGCGTCGACACCCAAGAAAAGTTCGCCGAGACTCAGCCATGAGTGAACCTGGTACGGAATCTAAATTAATAGAAGAGAATATTGATGAGTTAAATGATTACGAAGTTTCTTCTGATTGTGAAACTTTGGATGAATCACTAAAGGACTCATTGAGATGTCGAAATTCTATGGGTAACAGCTTCGTTTCTGATAGTCAGCTTGACGAAAGTTCTAAAGTTGCTGTGAGGGAATATAGCTGGAACTGGGGTTCTGAAGACCTAAAAAATTGCCAGTCTGTTAATAGCTCAGATATATCGAACACAGATAGAAGTGTCGTTAGAGATGATGGGACAATGCAAGCCAATGACACCTGTGGAAAGGGGTTATACCTGGAGGAACTAGTTACAGAACAAGATCAGAATATTAAAGAAGCCTACATATACCCTCCATCTCATGTTAATCCATCCAGTCATAGTCAAAGTTATGGTTCAATACATGCAACTGATAGTGGATATGCGGATTACGGTTATCGATCCGATAATGAGCACACTCCTAGGAGCATATCGCCTGTCAGTCCACAAGTTGCAAGCTTGAGACTTTCATTGTGTGGTGGTTTGTCACCCGACAAACCTTGTTCTGAGGAAAAGTTTTTAGAACACATAGTTTCTTACGAAGAATTTATTCGTGAGCCCAATTCTATTCTGTCCAACCCAAATCTTGTGGTCTATTTCAATGGTCGTTATTGGAACTGGCAAATAGCTGCTCCTTCTATAGTTAGTGTACTTGCGTTTCAAACGCAGTTGCCTTATTTGACATTGCAAAGGTTAGAGAGCCAATACCTCCCCAAAAAGCAGTCTCGGCGCACTTCATGGTTTAGTTGGGGCACTAGTTATACACAGACAGTAACTGCAGCCCCGGAACCTGTCATACCATCTAAAAAAGAAGAGGACAAACCACAGAGTTCTAACTGCAGCTGTTCTGAACCAACTCTGGTAAGTTACCCTGATAGTCTTAATTTATACTTTTAGGAACAGAATAACCAAACAGTTACCAGAATCAACAAGCTTACCTCAAACGAAGTAGCCAAATTAAAACTCAAGCCTGGTCGAAACGACGTAGAATTCCGCTTAACTACAAAGTACCAAGGGACTTGTACATGCTCAGCTTCCATTTACTATTGGCATTGGTATGACAGGATAGTTGTTTCGGATGTTGATGGCACTATTACACGCAGCGATCTCCTTGGACATCTCCTTCCCATGTTGGGTCACGACTGGACGCATCCTGGAGTTGCTCGATTGTACAACCGTATTCGAAATAATGGTTATCAGTTTGTGTACTTATCGGCTCGAGCACTTGGCCAAGCAGGGATAACAAGAAGCTATCTGCGACAAGTCGTCCAGGACTCAGCATCCAGGCTACCAGACGGACCTATCTTACTATCTCCTAATTCCCTTCTCCATGCTTTCCACCAAGAAGTTATTATTAATAAACCCGAAATTTTCAAAACACAGTGTCTGCAAAACGTATGTGATCTCTTCCCCAAGGGCACTTCCCCTCTTTACGCAGGATTTGGTAACAAAGTAAACGATGTCTTTGCATACCAGGAAGCTGGAATTGAACTATGTCACATTTTTACAGTTAACCCACGTGGAGAAGTTCGTAATGAATATCAGCATGTCAGAAGTACAACATATCAGGAGTTAGGCGACTCAGTGGATCTTTATTTCCCGCCTTTATGCAGTTCGCAAGCTATATCTATTTCATCACCAGTAGAATCTGACTTGAATCTCAAGGGTGAAAATTCGACGTCAGTCTCTAAACACTCATCGAATCCTTCAATGGACATTGTATCTGTTGATTTGTCAACGTTTTCAAGTTTTTCTTTCTGGAAATCTAATTATGAGTTGTCTTTTCCGCCTCCAGAAGCCTCAGGTAGCTCCTAATTGATGTACACTGTAAAGCATATAGTACATTTAGAAGACTTTGATTTTGTTTAGCTTCAGTGCACTCACTTTCAACCTACCGTTTATTTCATATAGTCTTTCAGGTGATTATTTTACAAAATAACACCCATATTCATATGATGAATGTGCCTTTTTTTACATTTAGATTGAGATCCTAATTCCCTTTTATGGAGCTTGTTATCTGTTACTTTTTCGCTAATTGTATGTTATTACTCCTCGTTGATTTTTTGAGCTAATATAAACATAATTAACTACGTGTAGTTCTGTTTCTGTTTCCAAATAGAATAATCTAACTTATCAACTCATGCATTTAGGCTGATCTACTGGACAACTTTTCAGCGGAAAGTTGTTTTGAACAAGCTGCAGCGTATGTTCCCAGAATAGTTAATTCTCTGGATTCAAGTGTGTTATTATACCTTTACGCGAGATACAAGCAGGTCAGTTATGTGGTTTTTTTCCCGTCCATTTGGCATATTTAAACTTTAAAGGATAAAAACAGTCGATTTTTTCGTCGGTCGCTTCAAAATATTTCTTTCAGCTAAATATTAGTGAGAAATCTATGCAGCAATTCCTTTCTTCTCAAGATTAGAAAGTCTTTTTATTTACTGACAATCATCGCTAGGGTCATTGCTCGTATACATGCCTTTTTAGATAAAGAAATACTTCATGATTCTCATAAATTCTTGATTTCAGTTACACTTTCTTTCCGAAACAGTAGTCACGGGGCATCAGGCATGTTCTGTCTGTATGAAAAAAATAATTGTTAACCCAAGACTTAAGATTAGGTCGTCAATCGAGGCTTCAGTGACACCTGTCGGCTTACTAATCTAAAAGTGTCAGATGATTCTGTGAATAAATCATTGAAGAAATGTATTGTGCTAGTCAGTGCGCTCTGCTCTCCTGCAGTGTGAACCGTCGGGAGGTAATATCCATCCATGCACTTCCGCTTCCTTTAAGGAATTCTACTCAAATTCGTGCGGATGTGTAAGGGCTCAAATAAAGTTCTCATCTGAAGTGACAATAGTAAGTAGTGTCTACTAGGAATGCCCAGCGTCATTGTTTTTAATTATTTTCAAACATGACTCTGACTTCGACCCTTTAAAAATTGGCTTACTACCAAGAGCAGGTCTTGTTACGCATATGATATTAACCTTTAGGTGAAGATACTGCCAAAATACAGTCTGAAAATTAACAAGGATCTATGTTCGTTTGACATACTGTTCATTCCTGTGTGATGTAAGAAAATGCTATGGGGGTAGTTAACACCAACTCCTACTTTAAAGATAAAAAGTAAAATAGTTGAACGTGTCAGTCACTTCATTAGTTGAAGGTTACGTCAACCTTAATAGGATGGTTGCTGACAAAGTCTTAGCACGAACGCAGAAGGCTCATTCGACTGTGTCGGTGACACAGAGGTTAGGACTCTCGCTGACCATGTACATGGTCCGGGGTTCAATCCCCCGCCGACGAACGCCTGATATCAATGGTCGGCCTGCAAAATTTGGGCTACCGATATCACATGCTGAAAATTCCATACCTGTACCAGAAATACGGTGTGGAATCAAGTTATAATAAAAAATGCGTCATTTATTGAGCAGACTTAACATCTGGTTACAATGTATTACATAGCTCTTCCTTCTTGTCCTGTGACTTTTATAGGTAGAGGATATAGAAAATTTTTGATCATAGATGCCTTTATTTTGTTTTTCATGTTTGGTAGGCAACACTGACATTGATAATGAAATTGGGTGTAAGGTTTTATTTAAGAAAGATAAGTTAATGTATGAAGGATTGTGGGGCTCCAATGATCGAAATGGTTAAAACACGTTCTTCGCTTCCACATCTAGATAAGCTGTGTTACCAGAAGTAGGCGCAGGTTAGGAAAGAATTAGGGATGGTTAGACCGAAATATCCCATCGGGTTGGTGTAAGTCACTGATTATCCCCATATACAAGAAGGGAGACAAGTCTTCCTGTGATAATCACAGAGGGATTAGCTTGACTAATATAGTATCTAAAGTCTTAGGTTCAATAATCATGCGTAGACTAAGTGGTGCTCGGGAGGCACAAACACGAGAGAGCCAGGCAGGCTTTAGACCAGGAAGAGGGTGTATTGATCATATCTTCACCCTCCGACAGATTATAGAACATAGGAATTCCTACCGGCGTCCAACAGTCATTATATTTCTTGACCTAAAGGCAGCATTCGACTCTGTCGATCGAGAAGTTCTCTGGAGATGCTTAGCTGTAAAGGGAATTCCGAGAAAATATATTGCACTGATTAAGGCACTCTACTCGTACTCATACAGCCAGGTGAGGGCTTACGGCGAGTTGTCATCTGAAGTGGTGACGACCAGTGGTGTCCGTCAAGGATGCCCATTATCCCCATTTCTATCCAACTTCATCATAGATGTACTAATGGACTTAACCCTAAGTGACTTCAGCGACTCAGGGATTGACTTGCTACCGGGGAATAATCTCGTTGACTTGGAATATGCAGACGATATAGTCCTTCCAGGCGAAGACGCTGACGAAATGCAGAGTCTTCTAAACACCTTGAGCCGCAATCTACGAATGTTTGGGATGCGATTCGCTCCCGCCAAATGCAAGATGATGTTACAGGACTGGACTACATCGACGTCTAGTTTAAAAATAGGAAGTGAAGTGGTAGAGCACGTTGACCGCTTCACTTATTTGGGAAGCACCATCAGCCAACGCCAACGAGTTGATCTCTGACGAAATCTCAGCTGAGGACGGATACAGGGGCCTCGTTTCGCATTTGCCAGTTTACGCCGACTCTGACGTATACGAGATGTTCGACTATCGACCAAAGGGCGGGTGTACTGCTCATCAGTCCGCTCCGTCCTCCTTTATGGCCAGCTGTGAGACCTGGCCACTGAGAGTGGAAGACATGAAAAGACTAGCTGTTTTTGATCATAGGTGCCTGCGTTCTATTTCCCGTGTAATGTGGCATAATAAGGTGAGCAACATGGAGGTTAGGCGTAGAGTTCTAGGTGAACAGGGGAAATCAATCGACGAAGTCCTGAAGCTACAAAGACTGAGATGGTTAGGACATGTGTTACGTATGCCAAGCCATCGCCTCCCTCGACGAGCAATGTTAGCGGATATAGGGTCAGGCTGGAAAAAAGCTAGCGGCTGTCAAAACAAAACTTGGCACCAGTCAATGAAATCCACAACAGTTAGTCTAAGCCAGCACGTAGAAAGGTGTAGACTTCCAGGCTGGTGTCCTCGAGACGGTAAAAATCTATGGTTGGAAACAATTGGTGACATGGCTCAAAATCGTTCTCAGTGGCGCAGATGCATCCACTCCCTGTGACTTATGATCTTCAATGAAACTGTTTTGTATTTCTTTATTACTCCTTTGTCTCACACCTCTACTCACTGATTCTATTATGCTTTTCTTGTACTTTCTTCTCTTGCTTCGCGTGCTACACGGAATGTGGCGACTTGAACTGGAGCACATATGTGCAAAGTTCTATGTCGAAAACAGACAGACAGACCGAAATATCACTTATGCATGGTTTGGAAGGGGCAAACAGATGTAGATCACTTGGATGTAGTCTTTGGGAATGAAGTATTACTGTAGCTGAAATAATATGCACTAAGTTTTCACGAAATAATTGACTATTACATGGTCTGTCTTGAAATAGCTTTAATCAGCTTCGTTTATCCAACAGCTTTTTCTCTAATTGTACGTATCATCGAGTAATGAGTAATTGGGAATCACTCATGTTAAATAATAGTGTTTACTAGTCATTTTAGAGCAATCTATGTACTGGATGGTTGTCCTGCTCGTCTGCGACCGAGCTCATCATGATCCCCCCACCCCCCTCCGGTTAACCTCAGATCAGTGAGCCATATATCTTTGGTCAAAGTGATGATTGCTTTCTTGATTGCTATTTATAGTACCAAATAGATCTTACCTTGACCGGAATACTTGAAAATATGGTGGATTATCACTTTAAACCGTGTAATACCTTATTTGAAAGATTTAGATCTATAATTATTTTGTTTTTACGCTGGTGTTTTCTCTTATGTACGAAACTTCAGCCGAATCAAGACCAGTACTGCTATTAAATTGTTCTTATGTAAACTTCTTACCTGTCAGTCTGATTCAATCGCAGAGTACAGATATAATTTCAACTTCTAAGGTTAAATAATACGACTTCTCACAAAGTATTATGACAGGAAAGTAATTTTAGAGACTGCGCAACTCTATTCACTAACGTTGACCGTTATTTTGGCAGACAATAATTTGAATCAACCGTTATGAAACCATTCATAGTAAATTTCAATCATTATGAATGACTTTTCGAAGAGCTTTATGGTGTAATAAGTTGTGTATGACTAGTGATAGTACCAGTGAACCATCATTCACTCGGCTAACTGGTTTCAACATAGAACTTTGCACAGATGTGCACCGGTTAGAGTTGCCAAACCCTCTCCTTTGAAGAGAGATTCAAAATAGAGATAAGTAGAAGTGAGGGAAAAAGAATAGTAATACGGAAGAACAACAGAGTTTTACTGGATATGATAAATCACAGAGAGTGAATGCATCTTCGCCATCGAGAAAGTTCTTGAGCCATATCGCCAATTATCTCTAGCCATAGTTCTTAGAATTCCGAGGACACCAACCAGGAAGTCCACACCTCCCTATGTGGTTTAAACATCATTCACCAGTTTAAAAGAATTATAAATATCTGCAACCCACTAAATAAATCTCTGTATGGATATCTATTCTGAAGTTAGGCGTCCTGTTAGGTTAGGAGAATAAGTTAATCTATGCAGTTATGAAACTATATCGATTTGACACGTGTTACGCATCCAGAACCAACTCCTTCTATGAACAACGTTAGCCGACTGTGGAATAGGTTTGGAAAAAGTAACGGGTGGTCGAACCAAAACATGGAATCAGTCTACGAAGTCCTTAACAGTGAATTTGATCCATTTACGTAGAGAGGTATGGACTAATTGGTTGGGCTCCTGGAGATGATAAGATCCAATGACTGGAAATAATTAGTGATATGTATCAAGATCGTTGTGAATGGCACAGACTCATTCATTCTTTGTGATCTTCTATATACGTTGAGCCCTCAGGTTTTTCCATGTTACTATTCTTTCTCATTTATATTTCTGCTTATTACTGTTCGTTTGAATATGTTTTTTCTTTCTTAACTCTACCTTTATGTGTGATATGGAGTGTGGCAACTTAAAATGATGCACATCTTTGGGAATTTCAATGCTGAAACTCAGTCTGAGCAAAGTTGGTTAATACCTGAAATTTCAGGGGAGCTGTTATCAACAAAACCAGCTTATGTCTAGACCTTTAATGATTACAACTCTATCTCTTAGAGAACTAGAGGTCGCAATTTTTTAACTCACAGTTGGTTATTCCTAAAGTTAGGATTGAAAATACTCTCTGAAAGGAAAAGGAAGGTTTCACAACTGAGCCATTTATCTTGAAAAATATCTGTGTGGGCTATAAATCCTATCTGTGGTTTCGATTTTGAATATATATATATATATATATATATATATATATATATATATATATTCAAGAGCATATATTATGCAACACAAATCTTATTGGCATCAATTAAGAGAAGTCTTCATACTCAACAACTGATTTAACTTCTGAAATGGACAACTTACACTCTATAGTGCCCTCTTTTTGGTTTACGCCGCGTCTCAAAGTCCAATGAAATGCTTCAGATGATTTCTTTGTCCGTCAGTTTCACTAGTACATTTTAGGTATGCTAATCCACAGATCCTGTAGTATTATTATCTAGTCTAGCTGTCGTCAGTGTTGCACCAACCACTGAACCGAAGAGGTGTGTTACTCAACTGGGTCCTTAATAACAGTGATTTACGTCCTGTTAAGGCAGACAATTTAATCAGATTAGGAAGAAATTAACAAATGTTATTCTTCTGTCATCTCTTTGTATGCACCCATGGATTCAATTAAATGACCTTAATTAGGTGCGGTCGTCGGATAACTTGGGGTCATCTGTTGGTCTGAATGTTCAAGTCGAGCATCTGGATTCAAAGCAGAGTATTTCCAATGGAAACTGTAGACAACATTATTGTAGGCTAAGTTGTGAGAGTCGTCCTTTGCATTTATTCGTAAATCATAATCTACTTCTGGCCAACACTGACCTCCTACTTATGCTACTCAAAAAGATCAAACTGCAACCAGCTGTTAATATTTTTCAGATGCAGACAGAAGCCTTGCTTCCGAATATACTGTAGTCTTTACTCAGCTTTTCATAACGACCATAAGAATCTTCTTTCCAAACAGGTGAATACAAATAAATTAGTCGTAGGCAGATTTCATTCCACTTAAAATGTTGTCCATCCCTCTCTTTTTTGTTTGTCAAACTTATTTCTTCTCAACCTGAAAATCAACTGATAGATTTCATCAATTATATCAAAGTGAGCAACTGAATATGTTAACGACTGATCTCATTACCTTTGGCGGGGTTTTCTGCTGATAATAACTGATTACTTACACAATTGAAAGACACTTAAAGACTGCAACAAATCCTACTTACATTATACATAATAAGGTTCAATGCAATTTAACAGCGAAATATAGGCTTCTGCACTAGATGCTTAATGGAAAATACTAGTAGATAGGCGGAGTGTTCAGAAATAAAGGTAATATATGAATGAGTGATACCATCTCTTTATTTTATATAACAGAAAAACTGTCAGTATGGAAAATTTTCTGGTAATTATCAACTTGTATATTTTGTTTACCAATATATGTCCCCTGTGCGTCGGTGGTATAGCGGTTAGGACGCTCGCTGACTATGCATATGGTCCGGGGTTCGACCCCCGGCCGGCGCACTCCTTAACCTCACTGAGCCAGAAATAATGCTGGTAAAGAGGAAAGGTTGGGCATGAGGCTAGCAACCCCATCCTGTAAAAATTAAACACTGCAACAGAAACTTCAAGCCACTAGCTTGGAGCCCTATGTTCCACTGGGAACGTGAAGGAAAAATTATTATTATTTAATATATATCCCCTCTTGATAATGAAGAATAACAAATTGAGCAGGATAATGTCATACCATTTTCATTGCATTGGTTCTTGTTAACTGCATAGTCTAAAACAATTTTAATATCAATGCAAAAAAGATTTACATAGACTAGTTATTCAGCATGGAGATGAAGGCTATTAGTATTGAGTAATTACCCAGTAGAATGGAAAAGATAAAATGTATTAGTAAGCTTGCTCTTGTGAGTCTTCAGCAGTGCGTCGCTTACCATCTAATAGATTCATAGTAGCTCAGAAATTGATGCTTCAAAATCATTGGCGATAGTTAAAGTTCAAGGTGGTTCCAGTTTACCAAGTACTACTGAAGCGGTAACCAATGAACTGTTAGAACGCAAGTTGTACATTTAAAAAGAAGCTGTGGTTGATCTCGGCCTTCCATTCTTAAAAATATTTTATTTCATGAAAAGATTGTATTTAGCATAGAGGAAAAACAATTTCATACCATTAATTTTGCCTTTATCCATATTCTTGACCTTACTGTTTCGTTGATCTCTACCCATGTCTTACTTCCATATCTTGCCAATTGTACATCTCTAATCAATTCCAAACTTCCGTTTCTAACTGTAGAATATTCTCACAATTATTTCTGTGTATACAAACAACCTTACTAGCACCTTTTACCTCAAAATCGATCATGAACTGACTTCAGCTAGAGAACCATTGAAAACCAGGGAGTATTAGGTAGTTGTTTCCTTCTTGTCTGAGACTTTCCGTAAGAACACACTCAGGACCTTCAGGTTACAAACCGAGCTTGTTGACCATTTAGCCACTTGGAGGGAATCCATTGGCTAACCCTTGAATTCGTGGTATAAAACATGATCGCCAACCAATGTTATTCATGAGTAATTTATCCTCACATCGAACTTAGTGGGCCCCATTAGTTGCGACTTCTCACCATAACTTCAGGCAACTTCATTCTCTAGTCAATCACTAGTGACCATCAGATGAATTTTCAAGTGTTGGCTTTAAGGGATTTGAACTGTTTTAAGTCTGATTACGAATTGACATCAGTCAGAGAAGAATCATTAAAGACACTTTTTCTTCCATTTCCCATTCTACTATTCATTTGTTCCATATTAATGGCCTCCATGTTCATGTTAAATAACTAAAATCTGTGGTTTCTTTTTATATACTTCTAGCTAAATCGTTGTTGTATGTGCTCACAAGAACTTTGTTACTCTCCCTCTGTTCACTTATAATTATAGTGTATGTGTTGTTGTTCAGAATGAAAGAAACCAGAGACTGCTATTATTATTATTATGTGGGTGTTAATTATTAGCTAAAAAGTTGTTTGTTTTTCTCTTTCTTTGTTACTTATTTCAAAGTCTAATTTTATACAACTTGACTATTTCTCAAATAAATTTATAAGTGTGGTACAGGAGATAGAGTGAATGTGAATTTTTGGTTATACTCAAAATTAAAACTAAGCCCCTTTGAGTCCCGAGTGGAACACAGGGCTTCAGACTTAAGCTTTGGAGTTTCATTAGTTGTGGTGTTTATTTTTATGTGATAAGTTTGTTAGTCACACATCCAACCTTACCTCTTTACAAGGCCTACTGCATGCTAAGCGAGGTTTAAGAGTATGTCGGCCGGGGATCGAAGCTCAGACCACATGCTTGGCTGGCAAGTATTGTGCCACTGAAGCATCGACACATTGAAATCAGGTCATCTTATGAAATGCTGAACAATTTTTACGGCTTCATTGTATACACTAGCCTCAGTGATGAGGTGAGTTTGTACCTGTGATCTAGTCACTTACGATATTCTGTTAACTAACAGTTTGTTAATCTAAGCGTCAGCCTATTTTCACTTTCACTTTGATCTGTGCAACTTTTTCGACCTCATATAATGAATGAGCATAATTCTTCAATCCATGGATAAGTATGTTTGATATAAAATTGTATTGTATTTAATATAAATGTGTTGTATTACTTGGATGAAGATGCCATATTATCCTTCATGTGTTTTGTACATCGTTAGGCTGTGTGACATGGAAATGATGTAAGATTCTCTACTAACACATTTATCGCATTTTTACTTCAGGCTACTGCTGGTCCATGCAATGTTCCAAAACCAGGAATCTTTGATATAAATGGTCGTAAGAAGTGGTAAGTGGTTTCTTTTTAAATCTTTATAAACTCATTTCAATACAGAATAGATAGTCACGGAATCAATAGGAACCTGAATACACATATTTTTGGTATGTTGGCAATAACTATGGCGCTCCGTAAATTGTTGTGATGTAGCAGAAGGTGGATAAAACTTATCCGTTCTTTTGAATTGCTTTCATGTATAGTCTGTATAAAAGTCATTTTTACTGTTTCCGCATAATGTCACCTTTGTTTTCTTTTCTAATTTTTGACCCTTATCTCTTTTGGCTCTACTCTAATATATATATTCAACAGTTGATTTTTAAGGATTAGGTTTTTTTCGAGGTTAACAATGGATTGAAATCAATTAAACAACCATTGAAAGTGAGAAAAGAATGGACTCCTGGGATCATCGGCAGTACGCATCCAGTGGGGTTCGAACCCGGGACCTTTCAGTTACAAGGTAAGCTCGTATACCATGCAGCCACTTGGACCCGATTCAATGGCGCATGAATCCTGACTTCTACCAATTCGTGATTTATTGTGTACTGTCGATGATTCCTGAACTAGGAAGTAATAGCTGTCCAGTAGTCCTTGGTTTTCATTAGCTATCTAACTGATATCAATCCGTCCCTTACAAATCAACTCTTGAAAATTAATGTGATACTCGCTAGTGATTTGTTACAGGATAGAGTTTCCTGGAGTACTAGTGAGAAGTTGTGACCAGTGCAGGCCATCCAGTCAAGTGTGAGGATATATATATATATATATATATATAGTGGAGGGTGAAATTTCGGCTTTTATATATCAGTTGATGAAAGGACACAAACAGTTCACCCCTTGGGATAAAAAAAAACAACTATTTCCAGGATAAATAATTCACATAGAATTCAACATGCAACAATTTTTATCAATAGCCATGGGAAGTTCATGTCTAACATTCCTCCGTCCTATGAATCAGAGAGTAATACACTGTAGTACACTTAGTTGTTTCTGTCTGGAAGTGTTTGTAGGATTCTCTACAAGCTGATGATTTAGATGGTGTTAAAACTAATTCAGAAGCAGATTTTATATGTTTACAGAAAGTTCTGATACTTTTAGCTAAAATGTTATATAACGACTGTAATAAGTCAAAACAACCGCCTGTTAGTGCACAGAAATGTTATTAATTTTGAAGTGATAGAAATTAATAAGTAATTTATCAGGAGAATCATACTTGTAGTGCACACTAACTTCTCATAAATATCAGTTTTCAGATCTAAGGCTGTTTCAGATGATTTCATCAACGATATTAGTTGTAATAGGAACCACATTTTTGTAAACGATTATTATTATTTTTTATTTTATTTCTTTTCGTTCTCGGTGGAGCATAGAACTTCAAGCTAGAGCTCTTAAGTTTCGGTAGAAGGGGTACTTATTTTTGTGGGGTGAAACTGCTAGTCTCACGCCCAACTTCCCCTCTTTGATTGGCTCTCTCTCTCTCTAATTGCTGTTGGTTTTTGCCGAAATCTAACAACTGAAATTAAAATCCTCACAGATTCCATAATGTAAATATCTTAATCATTTTATATTCCAGGTACACATATCTTGTTAACATCACACATTCAGCGTACATGTATCACGATATGAAAAGTAGTTTTTTTGTCTTTTTAAAGTTTATTTCATCATTTAAGCGTCTCAATTGTTTACAGTAAAACTGAATCATGCCACCCCGTCTCTTTTTGAAGTAATTTCATCAAACTCTCACCCGTCAACATTAACTTCGTTTAATGAAATCCGATAGTTAGAGGCAATCAGAAGGAAGACTTGCTTGACCTAGGTTTCTTGCTAGTTGGCACTCACCAGTCAATCAGCAAGGCGTATCTGCAACCTTGAAGGAACTCATGTCCCTTGCCCCACTGAGATTCAAATCCGCCTTACCCAGTTAGAACTGTAGTCAGAGACATTACCACTGAGGTATTCAGGCTCGCGGTTGACCTCCTTTAGGACTGACTGTATGGGATACTTTGATTAGACACCAGTAACCATTGTGACGTGTCTAGTCTTGTGTTTGGTGCAGACTGAATTCTATCAGTCAGTCCTGCAATGTGGCCACCATTCTGGGTAGCTCACCATCACGGTGTACATCGATTTGATGATATTAGTTTGAGGCAATCGGCAACGTCTGCACCTAACATAGGACTAGACACGTCACACTAGTTACTAGTGTCCAATCTAAATTAACTTTGTCTAGTGATTGTTGTTATGATTATTATTTAACATGTCAGCTATGGAGATATTGAGGCTAGCTATGAATGAATGATAAGATTAGAGTATATTACAAAATTGTGTATTGTTAACTTACACCAACCAAAACGCTTCTAATTTTTTTTTCACAAAATTTTCCATAATTATTTCACATAATGATGCCTTAATTACTTCAGGTCAGCTTGGCATGATCTAGGAAATATGTCTACTGAAGAAGCACAAAAACAATATGTGGAGAAATTACACGAAGTTGATCCTACCTGGAAACCATCAGTAAGTTCTTGTGATCTAGAAAGTATCTTTTATCCTTTCTTGTTAATAAATAATAATAATAATAATCACTTTATTCCAAGCAATAGCTTTTCATACAGAATGGGAATTTTCAACATTGCGTACAAATTGTAACAATGCATCTCCTCTTACAAGTAAATAAATTCATAAAACAGTACAACTGCAAAAATGGGAGTTAACAGAACAATGATATATATGTAATAGTCATGTTGTTGGTAATACGTTACTGTTTATTTACAGATTCGTAAGCCCTTTTCTAACATTTGTCTCTTCACACATAAAACCCATGGTATATATGGTACGGTTCAATTTGTACATTTAGTACTCGTACGAGCATAAATTCTTATGAAATTTCTTCTGGTTCCACTGGAAGAGGTACAAAGGAAAAGTTGCGAACAAAAAGAAGGTTCAGTGTCCAATAAGGTGACTTTTACTAACTGCCTGTCAGAATTAAAACGCCTATCAACAATAATATCAGCTAATTTAATCAAAGGCAAACACACCACTAACCCTGTTTGCAGCCCTTCAAAGTCCTCTTTGAGAAGATCAAAGAAGAATAAAGGAGAACAATAAAGGATAGCTGAAGTACATGGGCGCAGAGCTTCAGTTACTCCAGAAAGTCTCAACTTCCTTACGTAATAAGTCAAAAGAAATCTTTTCTTAGAAATCAACAAGGTAAGACGACCGCCCTGTGATCTAGGACTCAGTGTGTGCTGAAATCAGCTTGATTAGTAAAAGTTCTCCTGGGAATAGAATCAAAAGCAGCAGTGTAATGACCCGGGCTGGACCAACATGACCTATCTGGCGATTTTTGAGTCGCTGACACAGCGGTTAGGACGCTCGCCGACCATGCACATGATCCGGGGTTCGATCCCCAGCTGACGCACACCTGATATCAATGGTCGGCCTGCTAAATTTGGGCTACCGATATCATATGCTGAAAATTCCATACTTGTATCAAAAATACCGTGTGGAGTCAAGCTATAATAAAAAAAGGAGGCTCAAACAAGCTTTGCAGCTTTATCAAGGCGAACTCGCCTTGTAACCGGAAGATGCTGGATTCGATACCCAGTGGGTGCATAGTACTATTGAGTCGCGAACCAGAATAAGACAGTTGTCCAGCACTCCCTATTGGTTTTAAGTAGTTCTCCAACTGATATAGATCTATGGTCAAACTTGAAACAAATCAAATCTCTACAAACTAACTTCTAAAAATGTTAAGGTATAAGATTTTCTACAATCTTTTATTCGTTACATCATTCATTAAATTTATTACTTATTCTCTCCCTCCCTCTCTCTCTCTCTCTGATATATATATATATATATATACTTTTTAATCATACTTTGCAGACTGATTTCATCTTTTGTGGTTATTATGTTAAAGCATATGACATATTTTTCTATGTTATGGTATTCACTATGTTCTAATACCTCTATCACACCTGATCATTGCTCATCTGAGTTATTTATTGATTAGCTAGGAAGGCAACTTGAAGGACATAATTAAACAGAATTTTACTTTTAAACCACTATCGACATTCCGTCTCTTCTGCCACCAATGGTGTCAACGCTTCATGTATTGATTGTGAAGCACTAGGAGTTGACAGTAGTTACCTTTATATATTATGGACTCACGAAGGGTAGCCACCTTGATCAAATGTTTGTATGAAAACTATAGGGTAAAAAAGTTGAAATATTGACCGGCGCAGTATTCTGATCGTTTGATTTTTTGTGTTTTGAGTGATTTTATCTGACAATAAGATTCCACCTTGAAGAGATGGTCATTGGAATTCCCTTTAATTCTATCATAGAATAATTTTATTTGACAAGTGACACACAGTGATATAGTGTTATTTTAGGTTAGGCCACGGATTAATATCTGTTAGCGAGTCACTGAGAACCAGGGAATACTGGATAGTTGTTTCGTCCTGTTTCAGGACTCATCTGCAGTACGCACCCACTGGGTTTCAAACTCTTCCAGTTTCAAGGAAAGCTCGTACACTATTCAACCACTGGAACCCGATTCAGTGGTCCAGCACTTCCTGGTTTTCAATGGTTCTTTAACTGATATCAATCCGAGGTCTAACCTAAAACAAATAGAATCCCTACAAACTAGTTTTTGAAAATATTCATGACGTTTTAAGTACAATTTATTGCTCCTAATCATCATATCAAGGCACTTATGTAACTGTCAAACTTTTTTTTATAGTTTCATTATTTCTTCTCCTTTGATTTCACTGATAATAGCATTTTCCATATCGATGGTATTGGTATTGCTTTATTCCTCTCGCATGTGTTAGGTGTAAATTCCATGACCAAAAATCACTGTCCAACTTCTCTCTCCCTATCTATCTACATAACCTTTTGGAATTGTGGCTCTGTCTCATTTTATTATGTGATGATGTATTAATGCATGCACTGAGATTGCTGAGTTTTCCTCTAAGGCATTGTATGATGCAATTGCACTCACAGTTCCCGAATTTTATTCGTATATTAAGGATACCCTTTACATCGTTATTGCTTTTATTATTGGACACCAAGACATGTGCCACATGAAAATAATTAAACAACAATATATAAGGAAAATAAAAACAGAATAAATATGGGATACCGTCTAGAAAGCAAGGAAGAAAGCATACTTGTCAAGATCATTCATCATTCGTAAGTTCATGTTACCTTGAAAAAGGGAAGAATGTAGGAAATTGCAGCATGCTCGTCATTGATTATGACTCTCCGGGGTGACTGATAACATCTGAATTATCTCTTTGACCACAATTAGACAGTTGAGATGCACCAACGGATCCCAATTTAATAGAAATATCTCTCTTCCAATGGTGCCACATCATAGACGGACCACCTATACGCTTTTTCCACCCAGTTTTAGGGATAAAAAACAATAAACGATAGCGCAGAGTTGTCGAACATCGTCAGCTCGGAGGGGCCAGGTTTTGCAGGTGTGGACCAAGACTGTGTGCACTGAAGTAGGGTATGCCCAACCCTTAACAGCGTCACAAATTTTATGTACAAGAGGACCAAAGATCTCTCAGAAGTTTTAACATGTACCACTTAGGGTAGTAATAAAAAATAATTTTTAATTCAACTGTTGTGGGACAACATATCTATAGAATAAAACCCAGAATGTAATATCATGTGGACTTATTTCCTTTATTAATCTTTCTTTGCATTTCCTTTATGACTCTAATTCTGTAGATGGACTGATTTTTATCTCTTCAGCAGTTTATGAACTTACGTCTCAGTTTATACATTAGAAGAATTATCATACTAGTTAGCTACTGTTCTCATTAACGTATAAGATAGTGTGAATATGATATAATCTTCGAACAATAGTAATCATATTAAAATAGTTGCTAAACGTTGTACACTTTGGTAGGTTACTAAAAGCCTCTTCGATTATTATTATTTTTTTAATGCTTCACACAATCATTCTTGATGGTGAGACTATCGAAGATATTCTTGTGTTTGCAGACTGTTATATTGATCTTGTGAACGATGAGTCACATAGGTCATTCATCGTAGGAGTACGATGGATTAGTAATCCAGAAGTCAGTGGTTAAAATACTGACGTCATTCAGATTATCCTTTCATCTACAATCGATATTTCTACAACATTCTGCTTATTCTACTCGGTAAACAACTGCTTTCCAACTGTCTTCTTGGTGAACATTTAAAAACTTTTGGATATGCCGACCCTTTAATTCAAATAACATCTGATACCAATAACTGTTACAAAGTGAATCAAATATTTTCTCGAAAAAACTTTCAAATGATGGCCTTTTAGTTCAGTCTTAAGTCGTTAAAGTCATGTTGATTGCCTGTATCTGAATTATCTAGAAACTTAGATTATTCATTATTTTGAAGTTTTTAATCCCATAGGTGCTTAATGTTCACCAGGCTGAATGTGATATGAATAATTACTCTTTTATAGGTTATTTGATTACCACTTAGCGATGGAATGAAAATCTGGCCTCTTGCAGAGTGATGGCAAGGCACATGCCCCTGAAATACACCAGTTTGAATGAAGTCCACTAGGATAAAAGTAGGAGCAAAGTATTTCTGATTCACTAAGCCATACATAATAGCATGTAACAATTAAGATACAATTTTATATTGTTAAACCATGAAGCCTGCTATCTGGATATGTCTATCAAATCACATTTACTGCTGCAGACTAATGAGACTTGTTCATTCAAAGTGGCGAAATTGGGGCCTATGCTTTAGCGTCATCCTTTCCTGTAAGCGTAATTACTCTAATTTATGTTGCTTGTGCAGCCGTAACTGTCCACTGCTGAAGAGTTTCAAACATAAGATAAAAAACTGTTTAATGCTTCTTGTTTTTCTGTGGTCATTTTAAATGATTTCGGTTCTTCACTTCAAATTCAGTCACCAGTCATCTCCGTGAATCAACACTACTCCATATAAGTAGTCAGTATTCACCAGACGGGCAAACCAAAAACCAAATCGACTTCATCTCAATCTCAAGGAAGTGGAGGCGCAGCCTACTGGACACAAAAGCAAGAAGAGGAGCAGACGTTGGCTCAGACCACTATCTCGTACAAGGGACAATCCAAATCAAATTAAAAGCTTTCAGGGAAACAGGAGCTGCAGATAGACCACAAGCCAAGTTCAACACTCAAAAGCTGAAGGACCAGGCTACAAAGGACATCTTCATTGCAAGCATAAAGGACAAAGCCGAGGGACAAATCAACACTAGCGAAGAGGTCGGCTTCGAAAAGCACTGGAACAACTTGAAAACGGTGTGGAGTCAAACCTGCATAGAAGTTCTAGGCAGAAAAAAGAGACAGGACAAACAGTGGCTCACTACGGACACTTGGAAACTAATAGAAGAGAGAAGGACAGTGAAACAAAAGATTATCCAGTGCACTGACGAGCAACAAAAACAGGAGCTGAATGCAAGCTACAATACACTGAACAAAAGAGTGAAGAAGAGTGCCAGGGAAGACAAAAGAAAATATTATGAAACCATGGCAAACGAAGCAGAACAAGCTGCAGGCAAAGGAGACCTCGCCACACTCTACCAAACAACTAGGCACCTTTCGGGCAAACGTTCGACACAGATTAAGCCAATAAAGGACGACAATGGAAAGTCAATCACCAAAGAGGTGGAACAGAGAAAGCACTGGGCTGAACACTTCAAAAGACTTCTAAATCGTCCGCCACCTACAACACGCCCAACAATACCAACAACGGAAGCAGAACTACCAGTGAACACTGACCCCCCGACGAAATCAGAAGTCCTGAATGCAATCAAGATGCTAAAAGCTGGGAAAGCACCAGGACCAGATGGAATCCCAGCAGAAGCTTTGAAAATAGACCCAGAGACAACAGCGGACTTGATGACACCACTGCTGGAGAAGGTGTGGAAAGAGGGCAAAGTACCCGAGGATTGGAAGAACGGATACTTATTCAAACTACCAAAGAAAGGAGACTTAAGTCAATGTAAAAACTGGCGTGGAATTATGCTTCTGTCCATTCCAAGCAAGATACTAAGTCGCATCATCCTGGAGAGAATCAAACAAGCCCTAGATGAAAAACTTCGTCCGGAACAGGCCGGATTCAGGAGAAACAAATCATGTATTGATCAAATCGCCACTCTACGGATCATCATTGAACAAAGCTTGGAATGGCAGTCACCTCTCTATCTCAACTTCATCGACTTTGAAAAGGCCTTCGACAGCGTCGATCGAGAGGTCATTTGGCAACTACTTCGCTACTACGGGGTCCCATCGACAATTATACATCTCATCCAACAGTTATACGACAATGCTGCATGCCAAGTAATCCACAACGGGAAACTTACGGAAGCCTTCGAAGTGAGGACGGGAGTGAGGCAAGGCTGTCTACTATCACCAATGATCTTCCTGATTGCAATCGATTGGATAATGCGACAGACAACGGCAACCAACGAGGGAACAGGCATAAAATGGACTGACACAAAAGACTTGGAGGATCTGGATTTCGCCGATGATATATGTCTGATTTCCCACAAACTGGAAGATATGCAAGTGAAAAGTAACAAGTTGGCAGAAGAAGCATCAAAGATAGGACTTCAAGTGAACATAGATAAAACAGAGGTGATGAAGATTCCTAGCCAACATCAACAACAACAACAGACAACAATCAGCATAAATGGGAAGAACCTGAAAGAAACAGCCTCCTTCACCTACCTGGGAAGCATCGTCTCAACTACAGGCGGAACTGACGAGGATATCAAAGCCAGAATCGGAAAAGCAAGACAAGCTTTCATTACTCTCAAATCTGTGTGGAGGTCAACAGCACTCAGCATCAAAAATAAGATCCGGATTTTCAACTCCAATGTGAAGTCAGTGCTACTATACGGATCAGAGACTTGGCGAGTCATAAAGAGCATCTCAAACAAACTTCAGACCTTCATTAACAGCTGTCTTCGCTCAATACTCAAGATCAGATGGCCAGAAAAGATCAGCAACAGGGATCTCTGGGAGCGAACCAATCAGGAACCGATTGTGAAACAAATAGGCAGAAAGAAATGGAGATGGATTGGCCATACGCTGAGGAAACCATCAAGTGACATCACTAGACAAGCCATTGCTCGAGTGGAACCCGAAAGGGAGGCGGCGAGTTGGTCGTCCAAAGGCGAGGGTGACTTGGAGGAGGTCATGCGAGGAGGAGATGAAAGCATGTGGACAGACCTGGAGCAGGGTGAAAAAGTTGTCAAAAAACCGAAGGCAATGGAGGTGCGCAGCTGAAGCCCTATGTTTCTCTAGGAACTAAAGGATACAATAATAATAACTCAACAATAATTGTCTTACCAATTTAGGCTATCTCATCTATTATTATTATTATCTTTATCATTATTCAACAGTATTATATTCTGTTAATTAAATTATTATTATTATTATTAACTTCTTTTTCTAATTGTAGGATACAAAACAAAGATCTGTATATGTCAGTCGAATGATTAATTTAGATCCAAATTCAAATGATCCACCGATGACATCTAATAGTGATGAGTCAATTTTCAATCTTATTAAAGAAAATGATATTGAAGGTGTCAATAGTTTACTGTCGTCTAAATCTGATGAAGTTCATGCAACAGATAAAAATGTAAGTTGGACATTCCATAGATTAAATTTTTCTATTATACATCTATTCTAAATGAAATTACTCTTTGACTACAGATGTTTGCGTCCAACCTCCCGTGTTAAGTGGTTTAATATGGTGAGTATTATTCAGTTGTATATTGTGTATGACTAATGATAATGCAAATGGACCATCATTCACAAGTTTGAAACAATTATAAATATCTGTGACCGGCACTGAATGAATCTGTGAATGGATATCTATTCTGAAGCTAAGCGTAGTGTTAGGTGAAGAGGTTAAGTCAATCGATAAACTTGTGAAACTACATCGATTTGACACATATGCACATCCAGAACCACCGACTTCTTCGATGAGAAATGTTAACTGACGGTGAATTAGGTTGGGAAAAAGTGACTGAAGGTCATACCAAAACCTGGAGGCAGTAAATTTGGTTCAGTCGCGTAGGGAGGTGTAGACTAACTGGTTGGGCTCCTCGAGTGTATCAAATTGAACTGATGCACTTCTGTTCAAAGTTCTATGTTGTGAATCAGTCAGTCAAATGGAACTTTTGAAATTCCACCTCGAATTGTGTAAACTGCAAATGACAGATCTGATTTAAGTTATTACCAGTTCGTTCAACTGGGTGGTTTGAACCGATCCGGTCCTCTGAGCTGATTCAAACTTAGTGCACCAGTGATGAACACAGCCTCGTATAAGCGAAACGGCCATCCGCGGTATAGATCATTTTGATCTGGCTGGCTAGCATATGCCGTCATGCATTTATGCTTACTGTCTTGATCGCTATTCACAGTATCAGGTAGATCGCATATTTTGGTCTGAATACTTTCAGTTTCCCAAAGGAAACTGGTGAAATTTCACCTCTGATTGTGTAAATTGCGATTTACATCCGTATATATATAATTAATAAATAGTTTTTATTTATTTTAGCCAAGCCTATGCTTAAGTAACATTACAAACTATTCTAATTCGTTGTAGGATTTTTCTTATAAAGTATTATGTCTAATTATTTGTTGCACTGTCTGTTTTTAAATATCTTACTTTATCAGGGTTCTGTTTTTTGAAAAGGTACTCTATCTAATAAGGGGGGGAGAGTGTAATTATATTTTGTTCGAATTCAATTTGTTTTTTGTTTTCGTGATAATGTATCATATAAATCTTAGGAATAATATTAACATTTGTTCACTAAGTGAAATAGTCATAGAATACGAATTTAATTGATAACACAAACTGACTGACTGGAACATGATTTATGAAAATATTTGTTTCCATCCTTACGTATTCTCAACCCATAGACAGAATCAGTCATCAATCAGTTAGTTAGTTAGTCATCTGCATATGCCATATACTTCACAATAAGAGTAAGACGAAGAAAGGTTTCCACAATACTTGGTATTGTTCATCTGTCGTTCAACGGTAGTATGCTCACCAACCACGTATGTCGTCCAGATTCGATTCTGGGCCGATCGATACATTCCTAAATCTCGCCTAACCTACTAGTTGATAGTAACTCCGGAATAAAATGAAGGTTAGCCATGTGAGACTGGCGACCCAACCGCGTAAAATAAAGCCACTTCTACTGAAATTTAAAAGCATGAAACCCTATGCGCTCCACTAGTCACATAAAGAACGGTTTTACGAAGTAACTGTTTATTGCGATTATTATTCCCTTGGGTTCCGAGTTGAACATAGGGCTTCAACAACACATCTACACTTTGCTCTATTTTCTTCCATCCTCTTCAGCTGGATTCACGTTTGATCTTAATCTTTCATCTCTTCCTCACACGATCTCCTGCATGTCACCCTCGCACCACGACCCACTCGTAGCTTCCCATTGAGCTTCCACTGGAGCGATGGCCTGGCGCGCGTTGTCATTCGACGGTTTCCTCAATGTGTGCCGGATCCATCTTCATCTCTGTTTACTTTAGAATAATCACCAACGTTCAGTCACCATTAGCATCTTAATACTGTTGTCAATAAATGTTAGTAATCTATGTACTGTACTTTTAACAAATAAGATACGTAGTATTTAAACATTTGCATAGAAGCGTATAACTAAATAGAGCTACTAATTGTTAAAATTATAGATGATTTGCTTCTCTGTCATTTTAATATGTCATTCAACATAGTAGTTCTAGATTTGAAGTTCGCCATAAACTCTAATCCAAATCTATTAGCACTTTTAGTTTTCAGTTACTTCAGCTAGCGGCGGTTAAACCAAAACTTGGCTTCATCAGTCAGTGAAATACACAACAGTTAGTTGAAGCCAAGTAGGAAGATGTAGACTTCTTGGTTGGGGTCCTCGGGACGGTAAAAATCAATGGCTGGAGACAACTGGTGACATGGCTCAAAATCGTTCTCAATGGCCGGCACAGATACATCCACTCCTTGTGACTTATAATTTCCAACAAAACTATATTGTTCTTCGTTATTACTATTCCTTTTGTCTCATATACCTGTCTACTGTCTCTATTTTGCATTTCTTCTAACTTTCTTCTCATGCTTTGTGTGCTACATGGAGTGTGGCGACTTGGACTTCTGCATATCGGTGCAAAATTCTATGTTGAAAACAGACAGACAGACAGTTGCTTCAAACATTGTCTTTGTAAATAGTTGGAATATAACATCGATGTCTTTTTAAAGTTGTAGTTTTTCCTTTTTCTTACATTTCTTTGAATTCTGCGTAGTGCATAAATCTCCAAGCTTGATGTTTTGAGTGTCACCAGCACTGACGTTTTTCTCACCACGTAGGGTTGGTAGCCTTGCGCCCAATCTTACCTTTTACCGGGCTTGTTTACCAGCTAAGCGCGGTTTTGGAGTGTGTTGGCTGGGAATCGAATCCAGACCATATGAATAGTCGGCAAGCATTCTAACACTGAACCACTGACAAAATTCCACTGATATGCATCTCGACTCTTTAAAGTTTTGGTTATTAGGGCTACAGTTAACTGGTGTAGGTAATCGACGTTCAACCGATGGATTACGGGTTTAAATATCACTTTATCTACAAAAGTTTAGGTAACTAACTGTGTCAATATACTGCACATAGTAAGTGTTGCTTACTGTCTCGTTCGAGTTGCCTACAGGTTAGCTTCTGCTGTGATGCAGTGATGAGAATTGTATTTTCTTGTCCAGGAGCTCAATGTTGTACAGGTACTTTCATGGTGTGTGCTAATTATAATAAGTAGGCATCAGTAGTATATCGAGTAACTTCTTTGAACAGACAATGGTTTTCTGCTTGTCAGTGGAAAAGTGGATGAAGAAGAGGCGTGGGTTGATTACACTGAAAAAAATCCTATTAGAAACAGACAAGGAAGATATTCTTCTTATTGTTATTATCGTCGAATTTTGCGATTAATGTTAAGAGCATGATTTTCTTAATTTGCACTGTTTTTATTTTACAATCAATATTATTTGTGGTCTCAATTGTCTTGTTCACCTCAAATGGTGTTGCTGCCTTTTTAACAGAATAAGGCGCTGAGGTCACGAGTTTTTGAAAAGGGAGACATGCGTATCTGATCGATATGCAGAAGTAGAAGGTGAAGTTAGGTATCGTGGGGATTCTGTTGAGAGATCGGACCGAAGCTCTCTACTGCAGTTAGGGTAGATATGAACTAGAGACGTCGCAAGAGAAGGTTACCAAGTCGTTGGTTTCAAATTTCGACAGCCCAGCAGACACGTAGATGGTGTTGCAGAAATTTAGGAGCCTACGATTTAGTCTTCATGATGATTCATTGTTTTTGGCAGTAACTCTGACAAATCTGTTACGTGAATTACCAAGCTGTTAGGTTTGAATTTAATGGAGTGCGTTTCTAACGCTATCGCTCATCAGCTGCAGCCAGTAAATGCGGCCTAACCTTTGGATATGAATGAACTGGGAAAAATCACAAAGCGTTATACAATATACTACTCAAATCTTATCAGTAGTACAGACCGCAGTTGCCCTAAATAGTTACCACAATAACTCAAAGATTGGGGTTTAGTGAGCAACTACACTTGTGTTCATGTTTGCATTTCTCAAAAGCGTAGCTACATCATTGATCCGGGATTCTCAAATGTTGAAATGTGTAAATTCTGTTATTTGTTCAGGTATTTATTTCAGAATAAAAGTCATAGTGCATAGCGTAAATGTTTACCTCAGTGATAAACGGTAATAAGTATTATCCTTGTAATGTCAACGGAGTTATTACTATGAGAGTAGAAGTGGTTGGATAATTTTCTTCTTTATGCACAGTTCTGGTTCCTCCAACTGAATGGCTAGGGCTTCTGCAATGCAAAGAAGACGGAATCGTACTGTCTTTGGAAGGTTGTTCTTCACTTTGTAGATTACTTTGAAGGAGGCGTTTGTTGAGATGGAATGACCAGTGTTGATGAGATGTACGATTATTGCACTCCTTATACGGCCATTACTTCCTTTCTGCAGCCACGCTGGATAGTGTTCTGTGACCTTTTTTGACAGGATGCGCGTTGAACGACCGATGTGCCTGGCTCCACAGCGACAGCTGAACTGATATATACACATAGAAGTGGTCAGGTGCGGGATCTTGTCCTTTGGGCTTCTGCAGATCAGCGGGCGGCTGGAGAACACTACTCTCAATGTTGCCGTAGGGAAAGTTCTTAAACAGGTGGAAATTTTCCTTCTGAGGACGTCACTAAGTAGGTATGCTTTGAAGTCGAGGTTCATATAAAGTATCTTTTTGGCACAGATGGCGTCTACTGCTTTTGGACTTTCTCTTTGATGTTTTCATCTATGAATATCGGTGGATATCCGTTTTGTATGAAGATTTCTTTCAGGAAGTTTAGTTCTTTTCCCATGGTATCAGAGCTGCAGATGCGTCTGACGCGAGTGCCAGGAGATCTAAATAGGTTTCTTTTCCTACTGATTTGTACCCAGCTGTAGAAGCTTGTCATTTGGCCGTTCCATGTGGGTTTCCTATGGATGGACCTTCTTAAAGTTCCTTGTAATGCTTTTCATCAGCAATTAACCTGTTAGCTGTAATGCAGCTTCACTAAATAATCATTGTGTATTCAGCTGCTTCAATCCAAGGTGTGTTGCAGTTATTTAGAACCTCAGTATTGCCGTTTTATTTCTTTTAATAGAATATGTATTGTAGATGGCTAATTGTTTACAATTTTTCCTTTTTTTTGAATTTTCTTTCTGATGTTGAAAAAATGAATGTCATAGGGTATGACACCTCTTCATTGGGCATCTGATCGAGGATACTGTGATCTAGTTTCTATATTACTTAAGCATAATGCTATTGTAAATGTCAAAGATACAGAAGGTCAAACACCTCTTCACTATGGTAAGATAGATGTCACCTTTTCCTTTATTTATTTTTTCATTTTATTTTTGTTTTTGTGGATCAATGGAAATCTTTATTTATTTAGTGAAGCCAATATAAACAGAACTTTTGATTTCAGCAGTGACAGCTTTTAGAATCCCATATGTTCATTTAGTATATTAATTTTCACTTTTGGTACATCATCGTACAAATTTTGTTTATTGTTAATGTAAGACTATCACTTATTGGATTAGTTGTGTTCTCTGAGCTGGTTGATTTAATTGTGAAACTTTCATCGTCCTTCTAGACAACATCTTCAGTGCAGGTTATAGCATAAAATGAATGTGATTTGTCATAACGAAAGCCGACAAGGGGAACGTCACTGTGATAATGAACAGAACGGATTATGAAAAGAAAGCGATTGAACACCTATCTGAAGGACCATACTTACTCATTGAAGAGAAGAAGAAATCCGCCGAATTCAACAAAATGAAACTAAATACAAACAGACTACTTCAAGAAATGAAACCCAAAATTGGAAATTCGCTCTGGTTTACACTAAAACCAAAATCTTATATACCTTCAAGATTCTACGGTCAACCAAAGATACATAAACCCACAGTTCCACTAAGACCAGTGATAGATTTCACCAACTCACCAACATACAACCTTTCTAAATACTTACTCTCGATACTACAACCACTACAAAAGGACACTCAAAATATTGTAAAAAATTCATATGATTTCAAATCCCAAATAGAACACCGAGAAATTGATAAAGAAGACATTATGGTAAGCTATGATATTAACTCGCTATATACTAGCATCCCTATTACCGAAAGTCTTGACATCATTTCCAGTCTACTAGAATCAGATATAACGCTATCACAAAGATGTCCACTGGACACCAGTGAAATAATTAAGAGCTTAAAATTCTGTCTGGAAAGTAATTATTTTACATTCAAAGGGAGTTTATATAGACAGACAAATGGTGTTGCTATGGGTTCACCAGTCTCCCTAATAGTCGCCGATCTTTACATGAATAAATTCGAAAATAATATCTTTTCAAACATACTCACTCCTAAAATATGGTTAAGATATGTGGATGATACTTTTGTAGTACTAAAACGGGATCTACACAATTCATTCCTGGAGAAAATAAACTGTGTATCTCCCAAAATCCAGTTCACTTCGGAGGCAGAATCAGACATCGGTGAACTTCCATTTCTAGACTGCCTAGTTAAGAGAAAAGAAAACGGACATTTTAGTATATCCATATTCAGGAAGAAAACCCACTCCAATAAATATTTAGACTTCAAATCATCACACCCCATCAGCGCAAAGATTTCAGTTGTTTCAAGTCTTCTTAGACGAGCACACTCCCTGATAACAGATGAGCGAGAAAAAGAAGAAGAAATTTCAAACATCACTAAAACTCTCAAGCAAAACAACTACCCAACGAACTTCATCAACAAAATCAACACAAACATTAAGTATGGCCGAAAATGCATTCCGAAAACATGGACTTCAACAGTCGTCATTCCATATAGAGCAGAGACATCAGACGATATCAGAAGAGTACTTAATCAACTCGACATTAGAGTTTTCTTCAAAACATCGGACACACTTCAAAACAACCTTGTCCATATAAAAGACCAAATCCCGAAAGATTCTCTATCTAATTGTGTCTACAAAATAAAATGCTCGGAATGTGATGCGATCTACATCGGACAAACATCTCGAGAAATCAAAATCAGAAGAAATGAACACCGTAGAGCTTCTCTTCGACCACCAAGAAATCCAGTTGAACTGGAAAAACTTCAAAAATCATCAGCCATAGGTCTACATGCTATAGAATCAGGCCACAAAATTGATTTTGATAATATTGAAATAATCCAGAAAAACTTCAGAAACCACAAAGAACGTCTAATATCAGAAGCACTTCATATCAAGTGGAATCCAAATTGCCTGAATAGGAATGATGGACTGAAACAGAATCTAACCTGGCTACAACACCCTCCCCCATGAAGTGGCAAAATCAACGCAAATGTGGTGAGCAAGTTCACTATGTAAACGCACACTACTTTCATAATTCTACACACTGACAAAATCCAACAATCTACACTTGGTTTTACTATCTTTACCAATTCGCTAACTTGACAACAAAAAACGACCCAGACTGATGAATGATGATCAAGTATTTCACAGCCTACACTTAGTTTAGTTACCTTTACCTACTCCCCAACATGACAACCAAAATGACCTCATACTGACGAACGATAATCAAGTATTTCACATTCTACACTTAGTTTGGTTACCTTTACCTATTCTCGAACTTGACAACCAAAAATAACCCCAGAGTAACGAACGATGATCAAGTTAGTAAACTTTATTTTGATATAATAACAGATATACTATTACCTTTGATATTTGGTTTGAACGATCTTCATTGTTATTTTGACTTTCAATATGTCCTTTTAAGTTGAACTAAGTCTATATTTTTCTCACCCCCTAATTCTTTGTTATATATATGCTGAGATTTTGTAAATTCCGGTTTAATAATACTTTGAGAAAGCTATTAGCATTAAATAGCGAAACGTCAGTAAAAACAATCTCGTTTTGTTTTTTCATTCATTGGGAAATACAAAAAACCTCTATTATAATGAATATCATATACCCAATGCCCAAATTTTTTCAAACCGTTAAAAGTGAACTTGGTTTGGATATATATAATAAAATGAATGTATTTAAATTATTTATATTTTCAATTATTGGTTTTGTAGAGATTTTTGTTTGATTGGTTGGAGGATTTCATCATGAGCTGGCATCAGTTAAAAACTAATCTGATGCTCACTAGCTACTGGCCCTGTTCAGGCAGTTGACCTGGGGTTCTAGTGGGAAGCCGCAACCAATAGGCTACGATAGGTTGAAGAAGAGGCAGTAACTCATTGAGGAAGACATTGTGAAGTGGTTGATCTGTGTCATGACTTGGCAGAAGTTAGAATTCATGGGCTGGCCATTGGACCGTGTCCCAGTGGCTTATTGGTCTATGAGCTCGCTAGTCTTGTGACCAGAAGGTCCTGGGTTCGAACCTTGGCGGTGGATGCGTGCCGACGAAGAGTACCAAAGGGCTAAGACGAAACAGTAGTCCAGTACTCCCTGCAACTTTTCCAATGCTCCTCTAACTGATTTCAGCTCATTATTTATTTTTATTATTTTATACTAAAACCTGTACTGAAGATGTTGTCTGGAAGGACGACGAGAGCTTCTCAATTAAATCAACCAGCTTAAAGAACACAACCAGTTCAAATCATCCACCTGAGCTACAAATCTTCTCCTTTATTTCAAAAGATTATCACTTAGTTACAAAAGGTGTTTAATTCCATTCTATTTGATTTATCATCATACAGTGAAACAGTTATAATTGTCAGATTATGTTTCCTGGTGACTGTGTACTTCTGAGGTGCATCATTTATGACTCTAATTCATCATTTCTATTCCTCACAGTAATAGTAATAACAGCCTTATTCTGGATGATGGTTATAAAACGTAAATAATTCTCAACAGAGGTTTAGTGCATAATATTTCCTCTTCATCCGGCATCATCAAGTAAAATAGTAATTGATAGTAGATTGCGTACTCACTGTTGTCTAAAATGAAGTGCGAACCAATCTCTTATGAATAATTATTCTTTGTCTTCTTCGAGGAATCCACAGTATTCGGTTAAAAGCCAGTTAAAAAAGTATACCAGTACATCTTGCCACTCAAAGACATAACTTAATAATTAAAGACTATGTGTAGTTAGTGTTATTTCCTAGGGAGAGTGGCAGTTATCTCTTGTATTAGGGTACGTTGTCATCCACGATTGGGATTTTTCTCAAGTTTAATAGAAACTTGTGAATCAGCAGACTGTAAGCATTTTAAATACTCGCGAAAGTAAATAATACCATTAGACGTCATATTCTTATAAATTTAAACAAAATGAATGCGGGGAATAAAATGCAATAAAATGATAGAGGTTTTTAGTAGTCCAAGTTTTAAGCAGGATACATACATACAGAGAAAGTGTATAAACCAGCTGTCACACATAAGATGATCTGTGACATGTTAGATTTCTTCATCTACACTGGACCAAAACCACTGGATGTATTGTATCAATATTATGCTATTATCGGACATCCATCGATACCTCCATGTCGGCCACTAGGATTTCATCTTTGTAGATATGGAATGAAGAAACTGAAACGGAATCTAGATGTAGGGATCGCCGTAGACGCTCAATGGTTTGATATTGACTACATGGATGCATACAGGTTCTAGTCATTAGACAGTAAGTGGTTCGGTGAGATGAGTGATTTTGCGATGGATATTCTACACCACAAGTACAAAATGAGAGCTGTGTTAGTTATAGATCCGGCTGTCAGCGCGAAGGGTCATGAATACTATTTGCCCTACAGTAAAGGTATGAAACTAGGCGTTTCGATCAGTGACAGTCGTACTGGCTCTCCGATTCTTGGTACTATGTGGCCAGAAGAGACCTTCTTCCCAGATATCAGTCACCCAGTCACTGAGGATTTGTGGTGCAAGTCTTCAGAAGACTTCCACAAGCTAGTCAATTTCGATGGTTTGTGGCTAAATATGAATGAGCCTGCGAATTTCAATGGTGGATAACTCACTGGTTGTCCTTCATGAAATAAACTAGACAATCCTTCATATGTTCCTCACAGTGATAACAGTCAAATAATATAAGAAGAAAAAGTTAGTAATACTAAGAGCTTAATTGACAGACGACAGGTGAATAACTAATGTAGTATTCTCCAAATTAATGTGAAACACATTTATAAAAGAAGCAGAAGAAGGAAGAGTGATTCCACACCTGTTTCCAGATATGTGATAAAAAAAATAAACAGCAGCTATCCGTAAAAGATAAATCAAAATGAAGAATTAGAGTGTGTTGAAAAACAAATCTGGTCCCAAAGCTGATTGGTAAACAAAAAATTGTATATTTTCACTGGACAGTA